TATCTATGGATAAGGTACCGAGAACTCAGCCTACATCCGAGATTCCCGAGAAACCGGAAGGCGGATTCGATGAAATATGAACGCTAAGCGATGTCGAGTGAGAGCAGTACGTTTCTGATTTGTCGTTTTCATTATTAATCACCAGCTTACCGGGAAGTTTCGAACGGAACAGACGAGACCCGATCTCCCTAGAAAATTGCAATTCGCTCGTGCGAACGGGCAGAAATTTGTCTCGGCACATTAACGTCCCATTGCACAAGTTGCTGAGAAAGGATGAGAGTTTCAATTCGCACTTTTCAACTCAAGACGTTTAATATTTGTTACGTTGCGACGCGTGATTATTGCTCCTTCACGTGGATAATACTCTTTGAGACGTGGTTTAGCTGCCCGCGGCATGCGATCGTTTAGGGTAACAAAATAATAATTGCCCAATGGGGTATTGAATTGTGCAAACCTCTACTGCACGAAACTCGCGGAATAAATCTAAAAGTTTGACGTTGCGGAGAAAGAATGTCGTTCCTTACATTATCCGAACAGAGAATTTGCATTGAATTTATGGGTTAATTATACAAACGAACGTCACGTAATCAGATATAAGGGAACATAAAAATGAAAAGCGCACTAACGTTAAAAGAACCGTGACATGCTCGCGTGGTTGAAGCATCGGGTTCGTTAAAGAATTGGAACGAGCTGGCAAATCCGTCTCGTTTGTCTCCCAAAGGAGGATGAAGTGAAAGATTATCGGGCCAAGTGATTTTCGCTAGCTAACAGGACAGTGTTTGTTAATTTTATTCACCCGAGGCAGAGAATGCGGATCGAAGTCAGGGACACGGCGTAACGGAGAAGGCACGCAGAAAGCGAATAATAGAGTGAGTCGAAGGAAAGGATAGAGGGTGGGCGATATAGCGGGATCCGTTCGCTAATGCGTGACTGGGGGCTGTTAACCTAAACAACGGGCCGCACCATCGATAGCCCAGTGACTCGGTTCCTCTGCATACCAGCAACGTGCATACGCGTTTATCGGTTGCATCGGCAACCGAGTGACACACATGAACGACGGCCGCGTAACGAACCGAACACCACCCATTAAAACGTCGCGTTTCATTCTCTTTTTATGCTGAATAATGGACATCGACGAATTTCCGTGCAAACCTGACGCGTTAAGCGTTTATCCACCCACACTGTTTCCACCATCATTCACAATGTAGCGCTACTAGAAGGATCATTCGTAATACCAAGATTCTAGCAACTCCTAAATGCTACAACCACAAGCATCAGTCTGGCTTCCGTGGCTTCTCGTCTGTCTGAGATTACATCGATTCTCTTGTAATCCTTTATTCTATTCTATATGCGTAAGTTGCGATCATAAAGTGATTTTTATTTGTACGAACAACATCTAGAGTGTCTGCTGCTTCAGCGGATACAAGGCCGCTAGAGCGGCGTTTTGTCCCGAATAATCGTTTAGTGGGAAGCCAGTATAGTGGTACTATCGAAAGGGTTAATCGAATTTTAAGCTGCGTCAGAGGGCGAGGCCGACGCCACGGTCGTCGCGACGTAACACACGAGCATGAAACGAGGGAATCGTGACTGGCGTGGCAAGTAATTGTAAATTCGTTGTGACGAGATAACGCGCAAATAAATTTTCGTTAGGATCCCATTCGGTCACCCTATGTTCGATACTCGTACCGAACTTCAAGTCCTCATTGGCATCCCCCATTTTCGAAACTTTTTAAACGGTAAATCAAATGGTTTGGCGTGAAAAATCTTCCTGTCGATCATGTTTACTAGGCTCCACGTGATTGGCCTTAAAACGGTGTCTCCCTTTAAGGAACCAGGGTACTTTTGTTCCCCTCGAAGTAGGGCAAAGTTTAGATTAATCTTCCCTGTTAGAACGCGTCGTTCTTTTACACGGACAAACTTCTCATCGGTGAAAACGAGACTTCTCGATATCCGCATAATCTCCTGAATTTCCGCAGGACCTTCTCCTCCAGGAGTTCGTTATCGACGATCCGATTTCGCGGTTGGTCGACCGCATTTATCGTGTCGAGTTCGCCGGCTTCGACTGTAGCGTTTTCGTGGACGTGATCCGACGGAACGGGGCGGGCTCGTGACACGATTTAAAGGGAGGAAAAATCGGCAATGGATCGGAAGGAAATATTACCCCGAAACGTAGGAGGATGAAATCCGATATTTTAATTTCGAGAGGAGAATGATTGCAGGACGGTCGATACACGCATGCCCGATTAAATCGTTTGCTCGAGGAGAGGCTGTTAGCCCTGGACAGGGCAGAAATTGCAATTTTTCAATGAAACTGCTTCTCGGGAAATCTCATTCGAGTTTCAATGGGCTGCTCTTATCGACGTTATTACTCCTGTCGTTCGAACTATCGTTATCCTGATCAAGGAAAATCGAATCTCTTCTTCAGCTAAGGAAACGACGGGAAAGAGTTTAGCATGGAATAGTTGAAAATGGTTCATTGAAAACGTTACTAGAATTTTTACGCGACACAAAAAATACTGTACATACTATCCACCTAGGTGTGTCATCCGCGATAGAAGTCAGGTCAGATACGATTCGTGGAAACATACATTCGCGCGTGTCTGATTTTAGATTACAACATTTCGATCGATAGAGGGTGTAATTTATTTAAGCGTTACACGAGAACTCGGAAAATCGAAAGACTATTAATTAAGCGAGCAATCGAGTATGCAATCATATAGCGAAGCTACAAAAAAAATTAGAGTTATTTCGTTTCGAGTATCTGTTTAAACAATTTGATAGCTTCTCCCGCAGTTGGTTTCCTGTGCGGAATCGATTAAGTAGATCCAGCTGTACGTGCGCGGCCACGCCTCGAAAAGCAACCTGTAACAACACGGCCGTCAGATAGCATTTTTAACGGAGCTTTTACGCTTCTCTCTCGCCCCGTTATATCGTTCGTTATAAACGTAAAACGCTACACCGGTTTGTTATCCGAACGCCATTCGATCTTACTGCCCTGTCGCTAGTTGACGTATTATCGTACACAGTTTTTAAAGCCTTTATTAGCGCGCGATGTCAGGGCATGCAATACCATATCCTCTGAACTAGACTAGCGTAGGAAAACTTTAATTTCACCCGGACATGTTGTCGTTTCACGGGGTAGTTTCGAGTGCGACGCTTTTCAAGGGAAAACTACTCGTCGGTACCTATTGTTCGTTGGTTGCTGTTTCAGGTACGAATAACACGGTTCGCTGCATCGATTTAAACTTCTTCCATTTAGGTGACACGTTCCGCTCGAAATGCGCGATTTTTGCCTCGTTACAGGAAAACGCATCTGACCCGATATTTCTAGAAAAACTCAGTCCGTGTAAACTGATTGTTCGTGGAAAAATGTCGACAGCGAAAGAAGAACGAGAACAATTTTTCTATGACATTTCGTATCCGGCAAATTCGAGTCGGTGTTAAATTAAACAGGATACAGAGCAGCGGAGCTATTAACGTGCAAATTGAATTATTTTGTAACTCGTTGGACGGGTAAATTGCGAAATAACGTTTCAAGCGCGAAACCCGGAAACCGTGCAGGCGTCGCGGTGAATTATTTCAAACAGGGGAACGCAAGAGGCTCGTTTCTCACTCGAACATTACGTTTCCTAGGCGAAACTACGCTAAACCGTAGCAGGGCGGAAACGGCTCGCTTTTGCCTCGCGTCGATTTGTTTTCCTTCGCGAAAATCTATCTAGGCGTCGAGCGAGCGAATTTAATTAGAAAAAGTTTCGCGGTTCTGGCCAGACGCAAACGCTGCTCATTCTACTTTCCTTCTCATCCTCCTCAACAAGGCTCGTCGACTCCTCTTCAAAGCACACTTCAAACCTCGAGTTTTCGCGTTTTCCTTCCTCCTATCACAGTTTAAACGTTTTTTCCCCCCTCCCATGAAAAGCGAACAACACCGCAAGTGCGAAAATCTTCGCTTAGTTTTAACCCTCCGGCTAAAGGAAAGGTAAAAGGCAACGCGTACTGGCAACAAATCAAAGGAGAGAAGATGATCCTCTACTTTTTAAAGATAATTGATACAATCCCGGCTTTTTTTTCGTCTGAAACCACTGTTGATTGAGAAGGGTCGATCTTAGGTGTTCGACCATCCAGCCCATCAACGAACCCCTTTCTTTTTAGATTCATGGCCATTGTTACAACAACTAATGATCGATCGATCGAGCCATGAAGAAGCATCAGCCGCGGCTCGCATCGCTTGGAATGTAGTCGTTTGAAGGAGCGTATAACAACGGACGAGCTCGCAACAAAAGGAAAGAGGAGAGAATAAGAGGGGACGTTGTATTTATCGAGAAACGTCGAGGACGAAGAATCTACCGGAAATAACGGTGACATAGCGACAGGCAAATGTTCTCGTCGAGCTTTCGCGAGAGCCCGTCATCGAGCTACACACCAGAAGCGACAGGAACAAAGAGATACCAACGGCGACGTGAAACGTCGCTCGTCCACGGTGTCAATTTCCAGAGAATACTCGAGGAACGAGGAAACGGAGTCTAGTCAATCCGCAGGCAACCATTGGCTGTGTATATCCAAAAAATCATAATCGATAGTGTTCAGAGATCTCGTCTTTTTGGTCGCGCTTGTGAAACACGGCAGGTGCAAGTAGAAGAGGTCAACGATAAGGCCGGCGGCCAGAGGAGACGACGTCAATATTAGTTCTAGTCAAGTGATAATTACGAAAAGGGGCAAACGGAAGAATCGTAGATATCTCGTAGTACAAAAGTAGCGTCGCGAATTTCAATCTACATCAATTTCAATCAATCAAATCGTAGAATCGCGAGTTCGTAATTCAACGATAATCCGTGTGATCGAGAAGCAATAATAGTCTACCTTAGTTAATTTCGTGAATCCTGAATCGGGAATCACCGGCAATTTCCTGCTAGGCTGTGGTTCATTGTGTGTGTTCCCGTCGAGCCCGACGAAGCTGCGAAAAAGAGAAACGAAGGGAAAAGAAAGGAAAGTGCACCGGCAGAATGGCGTTCGCGGCGGCGAGAATGATCCTTAAGGATAAGCGACGGAAGGCCAGCAAAGAGGACTTCGCGCCCCGAAATAGGAGCAAGGTAACATCGACGAGATCTTATTTGCAGAACCGACCTAACTCGAACACGGTTTTCTCATTCGCGTCCGACGACGTTGATCACGCTGATACTACGACACAGATTGTTTCGTGATTTGAAAGATCGACAAACTCTTTCTGCATAGATCAGGTTGAATTAACTGGAACATCTTTCACCTCTCTTTCCCGCTGTCACGTTTCAGTAGATATCTTTCTGTAACACTTCTCAATGATATTATCGAGACTTGACACGTGCCACTTTTTATTATCCTCGTGTGTGATATCCAGAGAAGCATATCAAGTTCTACGTAATCTTGCGATCGAAAAATCGCCACGCAATGTCGCAGTTTAAAAAGCAACGATCGTGAAAAGCTGAAGCAACGATAAATAAATACTTGAATAAACGTTCGCATGAATCTCGTTGCTCGCAAGTCTCGTTCGTTGTGGAACAGATTACGTAAAAACGATTCACGACGTGCGGAATGGTAGCGCAGACACCTACAAGGCTGGGAAAGAGGATTGGACGTACAGGGTGCATACTAATGAAGACACTAAACGCGCATCGTTTAGAACGATAATGTCAGGAAACGTTTCCTCGACTTTCTTACATTCTCGTACAAAATCGGGAAAGGTGTACTTTTTATTTTAGTTAATACACTTTTCACTTAAATTCTCCGTTGAAATATTGGCGATTAACTAAAATGCTCCTATGCTTTTTGCAAAAAGGAGCGTTCAAGAGTATTTCACGCTCAGACGGAAAAGGATTCTTCGTGAGTTAAATCTGTGCCGTTCATGGGAGCTTTTAGAGAGCTTTTACGGTGCCAGGTGGCCTTATACTCACTCTTCTCTTATGTATACCAAGGGATTCCTTTTTTCTCTATTAAGAGAATCTTAGCTATTTTGCTATGAGCCATCTATCCCCTACTTTTCTGGGACAAAGAGTCAACCTTTTTCGTTTCTTCTAAAAACGATACGCGGTCTAAATCGTGCGAAAAAGATTGAGATAAATGATAGAAAAATCTGACACACTTCAGTTTCTCGATTGAACGAAAAGTTACAAGAAAATTGATAAAAAACTTATCGAACATCGTAGTCTTTGGCACGGACGTGGGCCCGACCAGATGTTGGTTTTCAGTCAATCGTTCAGACAACAGGGTGTAAGAACCTTGAATTTTTGGGTCAAGGTTAATTTTAATAAATCTTCATCGATTCGAAAATGTAGAATCATCTGTGAGAACTATGACAAATAATTTCCTTAGAACGACAACCACGAAATACTGGCAAGAGGCAACCGTAAGAACATTAAGGAAGTTCGTTACCAGCTTGTGCCCTACCACCGGAGCGGAAATTAAATCCGCTTCTACCGGACGATGAATTTTTTCCATTTCATTGTTCGAATGTCCTCTCACTCGGCCTTTTTCCGCTGCTCATTCTCGCGGCTAATTAAGAGGCTATCGACAAGCAGCTGCAACATGCCAAGTAATTATCGACTTGCTTGAAAGGCGAATCCTCGTCATGCAAAAAGATTTCAGCAGACAAAGTTCAAGCAGTTTCAGATCTATTTTAGATTTCACCGTATGTGCTCTCATCATATTTACGCGATACGGTTTCCCCTGCATCGCGTCGTAATTTCTGGAAAATAATAAGCCAGCATAGCCTTCGACACGGTGCAAAGTAGACTGGTGTATCTCGACGCTAGCCAGTTTTATCGCATCTCGTTTGCGTTAACCAAGCCGTTTCACAAGCCGTATGTTACTGTCGTTCCTGTTATCGACCACTAGGAACTCTATACACGACTCATCGTACATGCATTTTCCCGCTGGAAACACCTGACACGTTTATTTTCAACAGACAGGTAACACGTGAAAACAAAACGGTACGTGGTCAAAGATTCTACTATTTACGATACATTTATCCGCGACAACTCGCGTCGAACGTGGCACGTATCCTAGCGTAAATTGCTCCCAGGTCGCTTAATTGTTTCGCAAATTTTCACTCGACTGGCCGTGCGACCGTAGAAATATTCGACGTGTCCATTGCGCTACTCCCACGGCGAGCATCCAATTAGCGAACATTTACGGTTGACCGGAATTTTAATGATCTATGACCCTTGGTAGCCCACGCTTTTTCAGCCAGCTGAACTTTCTATCGCCTCGTTCAATGGAAATTAATTCTATTTGTTGCAAGTTTCCGATTAACGTTTCCTTCTTGACTGCCTTTCGTTGCAAATTCGATGTCGGACACGCTATCGCGATTGAATTAATCGTAGAGAATACTTCGGAAAGCAACGAACCAGGCGAAGCGTACTGAACATAACGAGCGGTTAATTGAGCGTGAAAACGCATTCGTTCACGGTGCACACCTTGCCACCGCTCATAACACTGTTGCAGACTAATCGAAAATTATACGGAGGCGTACTACTGGACGAGTGTAACTGCCACGAGTGAAATTAATTAACACGCGAACCTCGAGAAAACTCCAATTAAAAAACGAGCGCGACGACAGTTTATACGAGCTTCGAGATTCATGCGAACAGCGCGGGTTCTTGTGAAAATCTACCCTTAAAATGGAAGTTACCGCGCTGAAGAATCAACACGAACCTTTTCTTTCCACTTTGTCACGAGATACTGTCTCTTTGCTTCTCCTAAATGCTTTGGTTGTACAGAAATATGAGCTACACGTAACTCTGAGAGACACGAAAACTTGCCTCTGAACTGTTCAACACTGAGAACTCACGCTATGCTGTCGTCTATGTTCGGTGTGCACTGCTGTTAATACGCTCTACTACCACGATGTACATACCATGTTTACGAAAATGACAAATTTCCTGAGATCAGTTCGTGTATGTACTTTCCTCGCCAGCAGGGAACGTCTGTCTTTGGAAAATATCCTTACTACCATCTGTAAGCTTCGGTGGGATGGGGTTGAAGAAGTTTAGGGAGAGACTATTCTCTGACGACCTTAACCCTTTGAGTACTCTGAAACAATGCAAGCATTGTGTAAATGAATACTTCGAATGCTATCACCGTATGTTTGCCGAAATGATTTTGCACAAAAGGGTTAATAATTAGAACAGTTTTCGATATAAGGGACTTTCCCTGCTGGCCCTCTCGATGAATTTTCTAGCAACAATATTTTCTTCCTCCTTCTAACAACCTTGCATCTAATCTCTCTCTAAATACATGCGTGTACTCTCTTTGAACTTACAGACTACTATGCACTCTCGTCCCTCAGACTATCTGCTCGATACTACCACGTGCTCGTATTAAATTGTAACCAGCTCTATTCCATGTATCTATCTATTCTATACCATATCTGTATTTGTACTTTTCCAACTGCAGTGTTGTGTGGTGATTGGTGACCTGTACTGTACTTGTGTTTGCAGGCCCGCAGCGCCAGTACAAGTAGCTTTAGAAGCCTGAGCCAGGTACATACCAAAATGACATAATCCACATATAGCTGAGAAATTAGTGATACTAGCTACTTTAGCTGGACATAGCTAGACACTTAGAGTATAGACATTTAACATTTGCTCGTGCGAGGACGCGAATTTCTCTCGTTTCCTGTTTCTCGGAGAGCAGATTAACTAACACAGTTACGTTCTACCGCGTTGTTACGTTCATGATCGCCACACCATTAACGTCGAGAACGAGACAACGAACGACCGACCCTAAGTCACCGCGATTAGTCGACCGTAATGAAACGCTTATCGCGAAACGGTATACGGAATGGTAGGCTCTACGACCATGGTTTACATAGTTCTGTTTTATACGACAGAAATATTCAATGGTAGTACACGTTCGTGTATATAGTACATGCATGATGATGGTTTTCTATTTTCACACGCAGAGAATAGGAATGCTGAATGAGGCATGCCACCTGTACGCACACCCCCTACGAAACTTCCAACCCATAGAATCTTGCATGTCTTTTACCCTCTTGTCTCTTAGTCCATTATCTTCTACGCGTGCATCCCTTCATACTTAATCTTTCTTACTCACTCACCTCTCTCTTCTTCTTCTTCTCTTCTGTACTTTTTCTCTTCGACACAGTTCGCGGCGATTCTTGCGCGAGGAGCAAAGTAAGTATAGGAAGTGAGAGGAGTAGAATTTTGTGTAAAAGAAAAAGGGTAACACAAGTTCGTAGACTCAATGTCGCCGTGCTCGATATCAGACGAACCGAATCGGCGACACGGACCTTGTTATTCGCGACAGGTCGTTATTTACGATAACGCGGACTGCTAATCCCGAAAATGGACTCCGGTAATTTTTTCACGGTGAAAGTCGCTCGAATCGACCCTGGATCTCGATCTAAACACGATTCGATAATTAGCAGCGCTTTTTTCGAATGATGCGATGCTGATTCGATCGAGGCTGAGGCAAAGAAACCCCAGGCTGATAATTAATTCTTGCCTCGACTTTCGACCGTCGAGTTTCCTTCGCCAGCAGCGTTTCTCTGTGGTTTTGCATATTAATTACTGGGACCGCGAATCGTGCTCTCTCTGTGGGCTATTTAGACGAGAACCGTTTGATCTTGAAACCACTGGACTGCAATGCGAGCGACGGGGCGTGGTGCCACGGCTGCGCTTTTCGTCCTCAATCGAATAGTTATCCGACACTTTATTGCCTTCGTTCGAGAAAATATTTGATCGAGTAATAAGTTCTTTCCAACATTTAAGCAAATTCCAAAGATGCTTCTAATTAATTCCATATCAATCACGAGTCGATGATTAAAATTTAATCAAAAAATTATTGATATTGCTCGTAAGTCCGTTCAGAATAACGATGGATATCGGTGGATCGTTTGAGAGGGTAAAAAATGCCATCGATATTTCACCCCTCGTCCTGTTTCGTTGGTGAACGTTGAAATCTATCGCTTCCGGAATGCAGCAAGGGAGTAACGAATTCCTGCCGCGCCAGACAAACTACAGAGGCGCGAGGCGATCCGTTTTCGGGACGAGGAGCCTCTTCCGGAAACAAACGGGCCGAAAACGGCCTCTATCGTAGATTAAGAGAGGAGAAAGTCCGGGTGAATGGCATCTTAGGCCCTCGTTCAGAGCACCCTTCTGACAAGTAGTCGTCGGATATAAAAGCAATAAGAGAGGACGGCGAGAGCCTTTGAATGTAGTGGGGAAGGCAGTAGGTTCAGGTTGAGGATGGTTCGGGCTGAGAACGACGATCGATAGCCTGACTGCACCCTTCTCGTTGGTGTTGTCGTAGCCATTACTTTCATTATTAATCTTATTCACTTGTTTCTGTCTATTCTGTCGTAGGTGCACTGACACGTTCCAGGGTCGTGATTTTCCATGTTTGTTTGATCACTTTCACGCCTTGCTGCTCGTAGAAACCTTTGTTCTCCGCCTGTTGTCTTTGACGAACCATATTCAAGCGATCTTCAATGGCGTTAATTCCATCGGACGTTATTAGAATCATTAGGAGTGACGTTGTCGAGCATTGGGGCAACGTGCGATTGAATAATCCGGAATTTCTAGTCGCATTTTCGGTAATGCGCTTTGTGCTGTACCAGCGTTGCTCCACTTTCCCCTACGATTCTGCTGGAGAATTGTATAGGGTGTACAGCTAGGCTGCTAACGAGGATACGGAAGTTAAACCGGTGGAATAGAATCTTTTCGTGCACAAGCTTGCACCTGCTGTAACCGTGCTGAGCTTTTCTACTCCGACGAGTGTATTGGATATCCGTCATTCGTGTCACGTCGATCTCTCGACACGATTTAATCGACTACTGGTTCTATCCACGCGTTCGTTCAGCTGCGAACGTTTCCTGGCTCCCGACGCAGATCGCTACGTCACTCGACGAACAACGGCACGAGAACTCGTATTAAACGCATAGAAAACGACGACGTTACAACGTCACGAGTATAAAGACGAACAATCCAGGTCGCAATTATTGTAATTGCTCTTCAGGGCTATACCTTACCTTTTGTTTCCCTCGTGTAACAAGTCTTACCAGCGTTTCATAGCGTTTTAATAACTACCATTAACTCGAGATATCCCGTGGAAACGTTTTTGTATACAGACACACTTTTTACCAAAATATCTACGAGCTTTTCATCTGACACCCATCACGATATTTCGAGTAATCAAAGCCTCGTGTGTTCATCTTGGACACATTTACACGGTCCTTTGAATCGTCGATGCATTTTTACGAAGCACCACCCGTGCACCCAGAGGGTATAGCTTTTCAAGGGCGGTTGCAGTCGGCCCCAATTATTGATCCTTCGGAAGCGGCTTCCGGGTCTCGCTCGCAACCACTCGGACAAAACTTGAGTGGGTGAAACGGCCGGGGCCAGGCCAGCAGCCGTGGTCCTGGCTGAAGAGACGAAGCGAGAAGCTAGAAGAGAGAAGGCGAGAAGGGATGATAGAGGGAGAAAGAAGCGAGGGGCGAAAGCCGAAAGCGGAACATGGGAGACGTTGGGCGGCGAGGGGTGTTTCTGGGCGTTTTCACTGGATCCCGACTTTCTCGCCTTCTTTTCCGTCCAAAAGAATCTTTTAAAGGCGCTCATCGTTCTCAGGATTCGAGAGTGATCGTCTGCAATTGCTCCCTTGTCGAGTGTTGAAATTTGCAACCTCGTTCTCTCCAATGGAAAACCATTAGGGAGCACGATAACTTCCCTCGTTACGAATTAATGAAGCAAGACAAGATTCATTTATTATCACTGTCAGTTTTCATTTGCCATAGGATGCAACTTGTACCCGTTGAGTCAAGGCAAAAAGTGCAATCCAGACAAAATTGAGCTGGCAATTGAATCGAAAAGCAAACGTCCCGATGAGTGCTCGGATATTCTCGTTGTTATCGAATGACCAACCAAGCGGTATCATCGTGTATAACCTCGATAACCTGGCCGCACATGCACACCGCGAACCTATAAAGCACGAAGACCTCGAACCTAGTCGCGAGTCGATGGCCGACTTGATCGAATAAGTGGCCTTCATGGAATTCGAACGCGAGCCTCCTGCACGCTCACCGATTTATTCGTCAAAGATCTGTGATTAATATCCCACACAACTTTCTGATTTTCGAGATTATCGGTTACCTTGATTCCTTACCATGAAAAAGGGACGATTTCAGGGAACCGGTCGATTTCCGGCAAGAATATGGTTGCTCTCTTGCTTCATGACTGTTGTCGATTCATCAGACAAACAAGAGAATCAAGCGATGTGCGATCGTGAAAGATAGCGTTTAATCGAGTGTTCAATTAACGATTCCGATACATGACGCGGGAACAAATGGTACGAGCAAGATAGAATCCAGTAAAGTCTCTGCAATCCTTTGTGTCCAAGCTCGGCCCAAACGAGTAACGCGTGCTCTATTCTCTCCGGTGGAATTTCAATTTCGAAAAAGAGAAAGAGAGACAGAGGATCGCTCGTTCGCCCACGATTAACGGGAGTATCGTAGAAAGAAAATGCAAGAGTTCCTTTCACGCGAAACGGTGAGTTCGCGATGAGTCGTTTAATCGCCGGTCATCATCTCCATGAACTCTGTAAGAGAAAAAATTAACGAGGTTAATCGAACGCGTTCATTCAAAGACGTAGAAAAACTTCCTTATTAGAGGCCTCGTCACTTTTACAACGAATTCTCCATGGCAAAGCTTTTATTATCGGATGAAACGTTGCGTAATCCTCGAGATTATTACGATATAGTTCTTTTCATTTGATCGTCGTAGAAGACGAATCTTTCCCCTGGAAAGTAACTAGGTCGTATCCTTGCCCCATTATAAGGCCTGGCCCGAGTTTTTTGAAAGAAGCTTTCAAAGAACGGTGTATTAAGACGTTCGAGGTTTAATCAAGCCCTCGCACGAGCCACTATAACGAATTCTATAGATATCGGGCTAACAAAAAAGTTCGCGTGCTCGGTATCGTAACTGCTCTCTCGTTCGAGAAACTTTTCTTTGCCAAAAATATCGTAATGCGTAATCGAGCTGATATATCGACAAGGTACCGGTATCTCAACACGTTAATTACCATGGAGGTCACTGGTGACTAGGTTTCTTTAAAGGGGGAGGAAAATTACAACACGCAAACAGTTAGTCCATTAAAAAAATGAAAACTCACCGTCAAAGTCGACGGTACCAGAGCCGTCGGTATCAATTTCAGCGATCATGCCGTCCATTTGATCTGGAGTTATCTGATCGTCCAGAGCCATAAGGATTTCTCGCAAAGAACTCGTGGGAATGTAACCGTTGCCTTCCTTATCGTACAGCCTGAAAGCCTCTTTCAGTTCCTTTTGCAGAGCCTCGTCGTCCTCCTCTTGGAAGTGGCTGGCCACCCGGTAGAACGAATCGAAACTTAATTTGCCGCTGCCTGAAAGGCCGATCAATCGTCGATTAAAACCCTCTCTTCTTCGTACACACTATCTTTAGTTTGACGTAGTCGCGACACAGTAAACAAGCATGCCCATGGAAAAATATCCAAGATAATGTACTTGGTAGCGTTCCAAGCGACTCCGTTTACGCGGAACCAGGAATAAATGTGAAATTTATAACGAGCATCGATATATAATGTCCGTCGAACGGTCGCATCTGCGTCGAGGATCCGAGCGAGGGACGTCTCGACGGAAAATTAGATTCGAAACGAGAATAATCGGAGAATATCTCGGATATTCGGTCGACACGTAGGACGATATCTGCATAATAATGCTGGCTGATAAAGCTGAAGCACGGAATGCGTTGTTAGCCAGCCGCATTGTCTCGATTTCGAGGCAATTCAATGGGCTTACGCTAATTCCTGTTGTCCGGCTTGGTATCACCGATCGACGGTCACGGTTAATTTGTCCTCGATGGAACGTCGAGTCGAACGCCGCGATTAAAACGAAAGGGTAAAATGTCGCGAAGTGGCGCGTTTAATTAGCTGAAAGCGACGACAAGAAAACGGTGACTAGAATAGTCGCGCGTGTGGCAATCGATTAGAAAAAGTTGGTCGTTGCGTTGAACGCGAATCGAACGAGCCTTCGGCTGGAAAAGACGTAGGAAAGTTTTCGCGTCCGCGTCGTTTAGCTTTCGTTACCTCTATACACGTGCATTGCCGCGTCTCAGCCATTATATCATGAATTATTTGGCCCGATTCGATCGAACGAAGGCATCGATCGGTGGCGCACCCAGCGTCGCGTCGCGTCGGTCCAAAAATTGCTATAATACTCGCGGGAATGCAACGAAATGCTTGTTTACGACTCTTGGACGAGCGAATTGCAGGAAATCGGAAATATCCGTACCTTCGTCATCCTCTTGTTTCAATAGCACTTCCAGCTCGTGATCATCGAAAGTGTGCCCCAGGGTGTTCAGGATCGTTCTTACTTTTTCCTTCTCGATCCGACCCGACTTTGTCGAATCGAACATGGAGAAGGCTCTCTTGAGCACTGTAAAATACAACGAGTCCTTCATTTTCCTCTGTGTCCCGAATGGGAAGGACGGGAAGGGGTTAACAACCGGCGTCGATGTTCGTTGTTTTATCGACGAATGTATGTATCTCGGAAACGAGCCGCCAGAATTAGAAGCCGCTTCGCATTCCTCTGAAAATTCTAGAGCGAGACGAGAGGCGGTTGTGCGAACTCGAGGCGCATCGTCACGCCGGCCCCTATTTATTTACACGCTCTGCCAGTGGTGTGTGCGTATTAAAATAACGCGGCCAAGTCAATCGACGGTTTATTTTGCGATAGGAAGCTGGGATTGCGCAATCACGTCGAAAGCGTAACGCGTTCTCTACCCTGTGCCGTATCTGGTGGAACGACGGAACGCGTAGGTGGACGCGGGAGCATAGGTATAGCGTTTCTGAGAAAGTTCGCAAAATAGCGTGATGGAATCGAGTTATTCGTTGAATATTGCGATAAATCGATATCACTAGGAGAGAGTAATCGAGTCTAGAGAAATTCTAACGTGAGTAAGAGAACGTACGGTTCATTCGTTTCTTCAAAATCGTGACCCGCCTCTACCCACGTGAAATACACCTTTTAAATTTAATGAAATCCCATTCCCACTCGTTCCATTGTTAAGGTGTACTTACTTTTGACTTGTTCCTCATCCTGAAACAAAGAAGAAACCGAGTTTCAGTACGATTAAACTGTTGAAACGTGTAACAGCACTTTTCTGCGGAAACGACAGAGGGAGAGAAAGCAGGGAAGCGAAACGAGTTTCGATAGAGACTCGGCGTTTTAATTCACCGTCCGTCGATTATTTCCCATACGAAAAAGCTGATCCGATCGAAAGATTGCTGGCGCCAGGCCAATGCTGCCGGTACTCTATCGTTTCCGCACAGAATCCACCAATTAATGCGTTCGCGTGCAACAACAGCAACAACCCGTAACACAGCCGAAGCTCGTTCGACACTCGATCGTAATGGAACTGACCATCTTCTGTGCGTTGTATGCGATTAACTCGATGCTCTGTCCCTTCGTTGTTTCGAACTAATGGTTTATCCGCACTGGATATCTTTTATAAGCTCAGCTAGAACGCATGGAAGGGGAGGAGAAGAGTTTCTCTCTCACCCCTTCCTGCGAACTATCGAAATCCACGGGTTTCCGCGCGGGTGAGGCGTCGCGACGTCAGTTCACGCCGCTATAATGCTACGGTTCTTCGTGTTAAACGTGTGACTAACGCGTCCCGAAAACGCGCCCAACTCAAGGACACGTGTCAACCTGTCACTCTTGGAATGTTCGGGCGCGTTTGATGGTCGAAAATCTTGAGGAACTTTGTTCGTCCCCGTGCTCTTAACTACCAAGAAACTGGATATTCCTCGTAAAATTGAAACTAGAACGTTCCTCGAGTGCAGCGTAATCGAGTTCTTAAATGGTTTAAGAGTTTTCAACATCGAAACGACAAATTGCCGCGTCAAAACGATTGCTCGTTAAAAAAGCGAGCATCTCGATACATTATAGGGAGAGAATATTACTTAGATACTCTGCTATGTGGTTGTTTTCGACACGGATCGGACCGCCTGCCAAAAAGTTTTAGGGAAAAGCAGTAAAATTTTCCTGCACCGCAGAAACTGTTCTTGGAGTAGGCGGACAGGAACACGGTAACAGAACGGGGAAAGAAGTGGGGACGATGCTATTTCAAAACATTCCAGACTATGATACTACTGCTTTCCATTCAACCATCACATCGCTTCGCGCAATATATTGTCGATTCTTTTTATTTGTTACCAAGAAATTTAATATCCTCGGACACTCGTGGATTAATAGAGTTGGCCCGTAGAAGAATTATCTAGTACATATATATCCGATTTATGAGATCGATCGAAACTCTGTACACGAACCATTGCCAGATTCTGATTAAACCATTCTGATTGAATCGAGTCCCGTAAACATGAAAAACATCTTGGTATTCCTGATTGCCAGATAATTGGAGTTAATTAAAAATGAGTTCGAGGGTAAAGGGTTAAAATTCATTGTTTCTTTCGCGGAGCGCTGGTATTATTTATGGCAGCTCTCAGAAGGGAACGGGGTCTCGGCGATTATAGTTGCATAACGGCGTAACTTGACGCATCGCAGCGTGACGAAAAATGTTATTGTTATGTCCCGAAGCTGGTAAACGACAGCAGAGTGCAGCTCTAGCTGCGTTTTTTTTTTTACGTCCGGCTGCGTTGGATGATATAGTGCTTTTCGTAAGAACGCGGTAGAAGGCAAACGCTATAATTATCTCGTCAGTTCCTCCCACGCAAGGCGTGCCATCTCTACGTGGAATTATTATTTGAATAAACTCCATGGTATTTTTAGAATGTCCAATACCAATTGTGTACCTCACCCGAGTCATTCTATATTTAAATCAGGGTCTACCTTGCCGTGTAATTGGGCAAACGGTCGACGAACTTCTTGGTTCACCCTCTTTTCTCGTCGATTGCATAAATAGTTCGAAAAACGATGACTCATAGTGGAAATTTTACTTTTATTTCAGAGCTGGCTGGATTTTCAAAGTCGAAGTTCGAACGATCGTATTGTTTTATATACGGTCCAGTTTTCGTCGTTCCACGTTGTGTTATCGAATCTCTTCCTCTTGGCCTCCACGGCAGATACCAGATCGGCCGGAAGTTTGTATCAACTGACTCGATTTATTCCCACCCGATGTGCATCAACGCCGTCGGAATCCGACTCGTTTCCAGAGATTCGTATCTGCACGATTGTTTGCCAGGAGAGGCGAACGCAGGCTTCCGTTTATTTCGCGATAACGAGGATATTCGATTTACAGGATCGACCTAAAGCTATCTAAAGACTTTTATGCCTTTAAAGATTGTCAATTGAAACTCCCCCGTCGAATGGATCGTTTCGAGAGCTCTGTTTCGGCCTTTGCTGGTCGCTTCGATTGCTACGTGGACGATGGCGCAGCTGATTCATTGAGGATCGTTTAATTCAAGAATCGCAGACAGAAAATAGATTCTGCTCGTTTCGAGATTCAACGAATCATACGCTTTAACGAATATCAAAGGCTTCTTTTATATTTATGACTTGGAAATGCTATTTCACGTAGCCGTTTAAATTGGTACAAATTAAACAGTTGGTCTTAGCTATATCAGCGTGTTGATTATCGTGGCAGGCGATTCATTTCCACGGAAAAGCTAACAGGAAAATAAAACAATAGGCTCGGTGGCGGGCGATGGCTAAAGTCTCAGAAATTACCGTGGATCATTCAACGATGTGTCATTAGCATGAATCTGCGAACAATGCAGCGCGATGCATCCCCGACCTCGAAATGTAAACTCAACGCTCGCTCGGATTCTCGACTCGTAATTGAGGGTATTGTTCGTTCTACGACCTTAGATTTCTTTTATCCCCTGAGAGAAACGAATTTTCGTTTCCACTGATTGTTCTCGCTGCGTAACCCTTCGTTTTTTCGCCATTTCTTTCTCGCTAACGCTTTCTTCTTCGATTCGAACCTTGCTCAAAACGCATTGATTGCGTTTTATAAAAATACAAAACATAAATGATAACCTTGCGATCGAGAGTAAAAGAAATTTGCAATCGACGATGGCCTAGTTTACGTTTTAGCCACAGCGAACCGTAGGATCGGTAAACAACGTCATTTTTGCAATTCCTGATGCTCACTTTGTCTGCATTCGATTGAGCTTGCAAATTTATACAAACTGTTCCCCTGGGAAAACGCGATAGATAACGACCGTCTTTTAAAAGGTCCCTCCAATTTCAACCCCTAAACTGTACCCTCGTTTCTATGAGCTGATCCTTTCATTTTAAGCGAACCTTGGTCGCCTCGTGTCTACCGCAGTTCAGACGAAAGTCGATGAAAAGTCATTATAGCAGGGAAACAAAGGAGAAATTCGACGATCTGGTGACGAAACTATGTTCAACTGCAGAAACGAAGCTGCTGACGAAGGGAAAAAGAAGAAGAAGAGTTTGCAAACGAATTTCGTGGTTCCATTTGCCGCTTGTTTAATCAGGCTGCAATTAAAAGGAACAGCTCGAACGGTGCTGGGTTTCGACTCACCCTCGAAATTCCATTAATCCGCGGTCACGTGGGAAGCAAAGCGCGATTACACGTCCGCCGATAGAGGTAGCCCGGTGGCCGCTATCGATCGCCAACGAATCTAACGATGCTCTTTTATTTTCCGCACGATAGGCTCGCAACAAACCAGCAGATGGAGTGGGTCATGTCAACCAGAAGGGATCCGCGGGTCAAAAAGCACCTGCAGCCGGGCAAAAGGTGGCGCCTGGTGCAAAAAGTGCCGCGAAACCGGCACAGAAGCCCTCTGCTCAGAAAGGGCAGGTTAAGGTCACACCAAAGGCAGCTTCCGTTAAGACTGGCAAGAACAAGAAGAAGGGACAGAGGCAGCAGTACGACCTTATCGTCACCATCAATCTGGTGAGTAAGATCGTTTCTTTCTCTTCGCGGCTTACTCGTCCGCCGCGCCGCTCCGCAGTAGTAACGGTCGGTATTGGTCAGACACGGTCGATTTTACTACTACCGCGCAAGAGTAAGCTAGCTTTTCGATGAAATACAGCGATGGACCATATCTAAAGATACAAAGTTCTTTATCCACGTTAATACCGACCAGACTGAGCACAGTAGAAACGGATAGCAGTGAGCAGACCCGTCTGATCTAGACCGTCCTCCTCCATTAGATGGTAGCACGGGTCCACGAACAAGAATAATTTGAAAACCGTCTAAGTTTAACGCGTTAACTGTCGCAGTAGGAATAATCATTTGAAACACAATCTTCTTGCTACCTTGAATTTTAAAACATTAACGCTACTTGAACTTTTTTACTTTTTTCTTTCGGCTACTCAATTGTATCACGTTCCGAGGTTGGTCACTGGTGACCTCGATAATTGTCGTTTATTTGAAACGAATTCAATTCAATACTTAACCCTAGGGTATGTCGTAAGCAAAGGTCAATTCACCGATGACGCGACAGCCACGATCCAATAAAACGCGAAACGAGTTTCCCATCGTATAAATTGCCTCTGTGTATGCAAGTTGTATTCAAGGGTACGGCAACAGTGTTGTTTGACTCGGTATCAAATATTTGTAAAAATAGCAAGCGGGAATGCATTTCAAGAAATTTACAAGACGACACCTACGACAAAGCGGGTCAACATGTCCGTGATTTTTCGTCGCGACGCTCCAGAAATAGTTGCAGACGACTTTACCTTCGTCCTACTGAAACGAATCTCTCGCTAAGGAAAATATTGACCAATTTCAATGTTCTTCGTTTTCGATTCCGATGTGAATAATACATACAGCAATTGTAAGTTCAAGAAACTCGATCTTGACTGACGCACGGAAAGCAAGGTATGCAATAATAAGATCGCCCAAAGTTAGAACGGCCGAAATATTTGTGGCAGACTTCGTAATTGCAGTCGTTGTCCGGTTAAATCATGCTCGATTCAATTTGGCTGACCAACTGATGAGTTGGCGTCTCGCGTACTGAAAATCGTTTTCAAGGAGATATCTACTCGATCAGTCGCAATCAGATGAAAGATGGATCCGTCGCGCAGCTTACCGCGTATCGTTTGGCAAATCTAGTGCGAGCAAGTTGCCATTAACAGAAACAGAATGAAAGATAGATGAAGACAGAAAACGAGAAGCAAACAGAGAAGAAGATAGTGGGCCAATCGTCGAGGAGCGTTGACAAGTTAAAAACAGCCGAAGGTGGTTTGAAAGCTCGCTTCATCTTAGCTTGAATAACGCGTTCGTAGAAAGTCGTCGTGCATAACAATCTCTGGTACGTCTTGACCGGGAAATATCGTCACCACTGTTTTACGCATGAATCGAGAGGGGAGGATCAGAATGAAGTCAAGTCGGACGATTCGCTGCCACAAACAAGCGGTGACGTTACCGCACGCTAGTCCATAAATATTATTTGTGTTCGGTCCTGTATCCGCGCTAGTTCGATTAACGTGTGGCAGGCTCTTCGTGTGGGAGGACCCAAAACTTTTTTTAAGATAAACTTGAAAGAAAAAAGAAATTGATTCGAGTGAAATTAAACAGAAGGATGAAGGGTCTATGAAACGGTGCAACTGACTGCTGAGATCAAATGTGAATTTGGAAAGTGTCTTTAACGCTGTCAAATTGTTAATCGATAAAATTAGTGCGTGTGACATTATTGTTCGACATGATGGACGCCGAGAAGAAATATACGTCGGCCTATGGGAGGCTGCGAAGACTAACGAGCACCATAGATGGACAAATTCGACAAATAAGCGTGAGTAATTCGACTAAAAAATTCTTTGAACATATTAATTCGCTTTGAATGGACGCGATCGAGACCGCGTGTTTGAGTTTGCAACAGAAATTCAAAGGGATCATATAAATGCGGAGCAGACGCGTATACTCGTAAACGGTGAGCTGAATTTTCGCGAATTTATGCGAGTCCCTCTGAGAAACGCTGGAAAAGGACGTGACCTAGTTGAACGCCGACTCTGTCTACCTCCAAAGAGCCTCGAAGCATCGAACCAAGAGCTTTCGACTAAGACAGATCCGACAGGCTTGTGTCACTTTCTCACAGTGCTTACGGTTACATTCACGGATATCCATGGACGTAATCCGTGAAAGTCATTTCGAAGCGACATCCCCGAATGTTTCTGGATTACCGAACCAACGAGTTTCCGTGACAGGCTAACTTGCAATTGATGCAATGCCATGTGACAGACTAAGAGTCAAAGTGATCGTTCGAGAAAAGGACAAAGAAGAAACGCTTGACGTTGTCTATATCATATTTATAAATTTTGGAATTCAACAAGTTTATTTCGGTATAAATTGCAACATCCAAGATGCGCCTGTAACCATAGATCACTCGATGGCTGACTCACAAGCAAAGTTAACCAATCCGTTCAGCTTATGGTGAGCTTCATTAGCGCGAGCTTCTAGGAAACTATTTCTAAAACGCTCGTATTAACGACACTGCCTGGAAATTGGTTACTTCGAGCACTTCCTAAGGCGATTACGTTCTCCAAGGAGGCAATCAAGTCCCAAATTATCCTTTGCCACCCACCATTTCCGAACGAAATAATCTAACGACCTTTTTCAGTTTCGTTGTTTCCACGCGCGACCCCGATTACGCCGTATCGAGTGGCTCGGCGAAGTTGCAACATCTCATTATTAATAATCACGCTTGGAACTCTTCTCGGTATTCCCATTAACGAGCAGAGCCACGGGTGAGCTTAACAGGCAATCCGCCAAAGATTGACCGAGTGGCAAACTCACTCGTATAGACAATTTAATTGCCAGGCAATTAAATCAGAGCCATAGCGCTCCGTTTGACGCGTAAATAACGCACTCATACTACTTAAACTTAAGGAGTCTCGTCGTCGATTTCTCATCCAATTGTGTTAAGCAGATTAATTTGTCATCGCTGATGAAAGGGAATATTTTCTACCGGCAAACCTTGTCAAGAGATGCCAAGTACACAAAGATCTTCGTATCAGCAAAGCGATTTGCACAATGGCGTACGCATAAATGCCAATAGCGGACTATGGAATTGCTGATAAGTCGGTGCTGCTGTAATCGTGCTACCGGCATATGTTCCTTAATCCGCTGTCTATTAATGCTGATTTACCAATGTCGAGTACAGTCGCGTGTAGAAGGCGGATAAGCCGGCACGGGTATTACCGTGGCCCGAGCAATTTGCAAGTTAGGACAGGGTCGTTAATCGTGCGAATTCTACGTGACCGTACGTGCATACGTCTACGTGATTAAACACTCGCTGGAAAACGGTGGAACGGTGTTACATTAATTAACTTGCCCCAAAGTGGAGTCTGCGTTCCTCGAATACCTTAACGGAACGGATACCGTTTTATTTCACCGAATCGAACGAAAGCATACGATGAATCGAGGAAAAAAAGTTAATCAACCGGCAGGGTAATTACCGGACAGAAAATTATTCACCGTTAATTTAATGGGATTAATGAGATTTCGCTGGAAATTCAAACAAATTGCCACAGCTTGCATCAACTCCGCTGCATGTTGAACTTTGACGAAATGCAACCGTGACGCGTTAACGATTTAATTAAATCCTGCACCGTTTCTCGCATCTTCCAATTTGGCTCATTTCCTGTTTTCTTTTCCTTTTTTTCAGTCTGAATATGGGCTCACGGAGGATCAGGTGGCTGGTAAGTGGATTTTAAATAACGCATTCATCGTCCGTACGAAATTTCATCCAGCGTTGCTAAAACTCTGCTTCCAAGACAGATTTGCAAAATTACGAACGGCCGCAATTATTCGCATTTTCACGATATTACAGCTCGTTTTTCCGTCGCACGGGATGGAACGGTTTTAAGAGGTCTGTTGCCTTTGACGGCGCGAAAAAGAGAGCAACAAACATCTTTCTTTCGTCGAACATCGTGTTAGTGTAACGAGTCAAGATTTTGACCCAGAATTCAAGCGTCTACAGGCAAAACGCTAACGAGTGGAACGTCGAACGAAATTTTTTCGGCGTTTTCAACGATGAACGAACGTGAACGCGAACGCGAACATACGTATGACACGTTAGCTCGGCAGTGGTACTCGAGGTATGTACCTCGTTTCGCAAATTACAGTCGGAGAAGTTGTTCGCGATTTTCACCGCAATGCCGCAATACGCGGGGAACTCTTTTTAATTGCACTGAACGTCGTGCTAAAGCTACTTCCCTTCGGAAAAGAGCGTGTTACAAAAGCACTTTGGTCTCGCTTCGCGTTCGCTCGTTTCTACTCGTTGATGCTTTGATTAATTAACTCGAGAGATCGTGGCATGAACGATTCGTGCTTCCGAAACGAGTAGCCGCGTGTAAGGTCATTCAATTAACCAGAGTACCTTTACGTAAGGGTATATCGCGTTATATCTTGGTGAAATAATGTTTCATAAAACATTATTTCGAGCTCACGTGACTGCGAACATTGGCTTTACTCGCGTCCGCGGTTATTCGGCATCGTGGAGCTTTCAAACGTTGCGTTCCGTCGCAAGTTTTTGCAATGGCACGCGACCAGAGATCGCTGATTGTACCTACGGGAAACCGCTGAATGAGAAATTGCCCTCTCGTTTGTGCACGTTAATGCATCGCCGGGTGTTTACGCGATGATAAACGCAAGGTGAATGCAGCTCGATCTACGAGGCGAACGATAAAGATCGAACGACCATGTCTAGAAACTAGTATTCCGAGGTCCGTCGCGACGCGTTTCGTGATTTCATACTATAATCTGCCGGATCTTTACCACCAGATTCGTTACCTCGCGTGATTTATTACTCTCCCAACAGAGCAATTGTTTGTGCCACTATTACCAGGCGAATTGATATTTACAAATTCTATTCCTTTTGTCAAACGATTGCGGACGGATTTTTACTACACCCTGTTCGTCGGAGGATCTGAGAATTTATAACGACGCATCTCTCATGATTCCGTCGGGGCTGGCTACTTGCCCGACGCTCGCGCGATCTCAACTAGTTTAGCACGACTTGTAACGCCTGACCACACATTTGCACACGCATGCATACACTCGCACAGGATCGCTCATGATTAATAGACATCTAAATTCGCGAGTTCTCAACAATGCGACGCCGAGCAGAACCGTTTGTTGTATATCGTTCTATTGCCAAATTTCCGCCAGAGTTTTTCCCTTTTGTTATTTACGGTTCGGTTGGCCGATCTCTGGAATTTTCAACGAAACCACGACGCCGTGGCTGCAACGAAAGCAGAGAAAGAGAAATCACGGTGAAATTATTCTCGCGTTTCAATCTCGATAGTACCTCGTATAAACGCGTCGCGAGTCGTTTCAATCAGTTTCGATTAGCTAAAACGAAATTCGATGCTTGAATTCTCGGTTGCTCTTTAAACGAGAAGATCAATGAAACATTGGAAGTCAGAGATCAGCGGATCGGCCATGAAACGGCAGACAATTTATCGTTTCAGAATTCAAGGAGGCGTTCATGCTATTCGACAAAGACGAAGATGGAACCATCACGATGGCGGAACTTGGGGTGGTCATGCGATCGTTGGGACAGAGGCCGTCTGGTAAGTGGTACTTTGAGTAATTTCAGAGGAAAAGAAGTGACCGCGTGTAGTCCACGTGTAGCAAGGTAGACGCGAGCTGGCTCCAAGCCACAAGCTGACGAAAGCTCTCCACGTGCGACCAAAAAATATAACGGTAATCTAAACCACTAGCTAGCTGAACCGCCGTATTGTCTATTGGATACTAATACGGCAATTTAACAAGAACGATGTGTCAGCTAACGCTAAATAAATGATAGCACGACTGATAAATGATATTCGATCGCCAAAAGTTTGAAACGGAACGTCAACTTTACAAGAACGCTTCTTATTAAATTAATATCTCGGTCGACAGTTTCGAGGGCTTTCGAAAACGGTAAATTCCTGAAAACTAGGCTGGGACAAGAGCTTAGGGAAAATTAACTTTCGACCGGTCCTAAGCTAGAAACTATGACAGCCAGGCGCACGTGCAGGCCTTGGTTAATTAACTACGCGTCGAGTTCTTCTATTCCCGCCCCGAGGGATCTGCCGGGGGAAATTAAATGTCTTCCATGAAACGACGATGAATGTACGCGCATGAATTACACGCGCACGTCAACTAACAGAAAGGGAACACGAAGGAAACGAGGCGTTGTCGCGTCGTTTGAATGACAACTTTTAATTCTACCGTCCGCAAACAATTCTTCATATCTGGCCAATTTCCGATTTTAGAAACAGAGCTACGAGATATGGTGAACGAAGTGGATCAAGATGGAAACGGTACCATCGAGTTCAACGAATTCCTCCAAATGATGTCAAAGAAAATGAAGGGTGCCGACGGTGAAAAAGAGCTGCGCGAAGCATTCAAGTACTTTCATGTCACCTTCATCGTCATTGTTCTCTCTTTTAAATAAAATAACACTTTTCATGCTTTTCTCAGAGTATTCGACAAGAACAACGACGGAATGATCTCATCGAAGGAACTACGACACGTAATGACGAACCTTGGGGAGAAACTATCGGAAGAGGAAGTCGACGACATGATCAAGGAAGCGGATCTCGACGGTGACGGGATGGTGAATTATGAAGGTAATATGTTTCTTTCAATTTAATGGTTCATTATCGGTCTCATAATTCTCGAGTGTTTTAAAAAGTTTCTGTCGTCCGTGGAAAGTTTCTCGACATAGAAAACGTAATGTGACCAATGAAACTAATTACGATCTTAAATGTAAAAGTTCGAGCGTGAAAATTTAGCTTGCCTTATTTAATAATTTCCGTTTATACTTGAAACGATACGATGTTTGCCTAGAATTCGTGACAATCCTGACGTCAAAGAATTAGTTCGGCGGCTCTGGATCGGACAAGAAGCTATCCAGCTGCCGGAAGTCTTCGACGAAGAACAGAATCAAACTCGCAAAGTTCCTCTCCGCTCGAAAGCATAGCGAAACGATCGTCTTCGCGAACCTCACCATCCAAGATATCCCTAACGAACCATAGGATAGGATTCGGAACACGAGAATAGAAACGCAGGACCTTTGAAAAATTTGGTTGAACGAAGATGAAACGTCGTTTATTCGGCTTCTGGCGTGCAAGATTTTCCTCGCGCGAGGGTAAGTGGTACCGGAAGACTGTGAAAATGGTGTCTCGAGTGGTGGGGTAGCAGGATGTCCAAGAAACAGGAAAAAAGGAAGAGTGAGGGGAAAGGAGGGTGGACTTTCGCAGTTGCACACGCATACACGCATACACACCTCGCTCCTTCGAATAATTTTACAAGTATAAGCTAGCGAAACGACACTGTACGTGAAAACGAGTGAGGTGCTCGCTCCCGAAACAATCAACTGAGCTTCGTTTAGCGTTTACCTACCTATTACCTATACTCTCTATTAAATGCTATACAACATCGTTATTGATATTGTTAGGAACCAAACAATCTCTCTTCATCCCTTTCACTCCCATTGTTCGATCGGTATTGTTCCTTCAGCATCGTTGAATTTCCTTGCAAACAACACGAGTCCTCCCAATTTCCGTCATAAACATTCTGGCGTGCGAGATCTGTCTTCAAATTTAGATGAATGTCGTTGGCAAGTAGATTAGCTTTAACGACGATATACTTGTGGCAGAATTTTTAGACGCACGTTGTGGCTGCATGCCAGAACAGTTGCTGGAAAGTAAGAATCAAAGCAACCAGTAGCGGTCTTTCCTTTCCAACGTACAACTCCAGACCACGCGATGTTCGTACGGTCTTAGTTATCGATCGTTTTGTATTCGTATCGTACGAAGTAGCAGAGAATCTCGTATCGCCCATCCCGTTCTTGTCGAACACGAGGCGAGATTAGGATTCTCGCCAGTGTCCCGAAACCCTTCTGTATCGAACACCGTCCACCTAAAACCTCGACATTCGATCCCATTCACGAATCCAACCCGTACTAATTACGTCGTTGCACCCTTAGGTCCTTAAGATGACAAGCCACAGCCGTAGCTCGCGAATAGATGGTAGCTAGTTAGTGCAATAGAAAGGAAATACGTACACGTAATAAATGATGCATTATACACATACCTATTATATATACCTATACATGGTGTTACTACCGAAGGTACTTGAAGTAACGTTATTATGAATATTCATATATATATAAATGCATATATATTATATATACATATACACGTTAGCAACCTACGTCGGTGGTATACTGGCATTGATATTTTTATGGTTTTAAAAAAAAATACAACAAGAACAAGAACAAGTATTAGTGTCAGAAAGCGAGAGAGAAAGAAAGCGAGCAAAAGAAACAAAGAGCGAAAGTGTGAGAATGTATGAGTGAAAGAGAGAGAAAACTGAATGAAAGAGAGCAAAAGAGAAATTGGTTGGTCGAAGCGCGGAAGAAAAGCGCGTGTACATAGCAAACATTCAACAGTGAGGGAAAGGAGAAACGGGATTAAAAGAAAATAAACATAAAAGAACAATAAGAAGAGCTCTTAAAGGTGTAGAGACGATTCGTTTCGTCCTAAAGGAGCGTCGACGGATGGTACGCGAATATTGCTATCGTTATCGTTGGTAATGTTGGTCACACGAAGCGGTGATTTTCGCAAACGTACACAACAACACACACATATAGAGAGATAGACAATAATTCTGTTCTTTAGTTAGGTGACACGCGTGTAGTTACATTGCGTTGTTTCGAATCGATCGCTGGGTAATGTACGACGAGATCGTGAAAAGTAACGAAACACGATTGATACATGAAAAAGATATGAGAGCAAATGTGAATTTGACAAAATCGACGTACCTACCCTACAGTGCGATCGTCCTTTTCAGCCGCTTCGCGCCCCTGTCTCGCGGTCGCAAAAATATATACCGAAGCTTGAAATTGACAACTTTCTAAATCAGCTTTTGATTTTTGTAATTTCTTTCGTCATCGATGAGATTTACGACCGGTTGACATCGGCGTGACGCGGTCTGTGCTGCTATTAAGATTAAAGAAGAAAAAAGGATACACGAGAAACGCGCAAATATACATGCAAACATAAAGCAAGACGCTTCGACAGTTAAAACATAAAAAAGAGCTCGATACGTCGATGCAAAATAGTAATGTATAACGTCCCGAAGACAATATCTTTAACGATTTTATTAAAGAAAGAATTAATCGAGATTTACCTCGAGAGAAGGCCTACGTTTTGCCACGTGTGTCCGACAAGATAGATTGTAGAAAGATTGTCAGAGAGAAAGAGAGTGAAAGGAAGAGCGAGAATGCAGAGAGAGAGAAAAGATAGGAGAATCGAAAAGTCATATGGTGAAGGAAATACGAGAAAAACAAGGTGCTGTTTAGCTTTAGATATCGTCAGATTTTGCTTTACAGTCTATCTATTTGCTTTTGTTTCACCTGAATTACTGCACTTTTCGTTACACTTACTCGTAGACTTTTCTTTCCCGTTCGTTCTACCTTTTTCAAATCTTACTATGTTCTTGGAAGATGCGACGAACAGATGGGCCGATTCATTTGGATTCATATAACATGCACGAAAAATTTCACTGCACCCCATGAGTTTTTCGTTAGATAGACTTTCCGTCTGATACGAGAACTTTATCTCGGTATAAGAAAAGCAACAAAAACAAAAAAACACCGAAGTACAAGATATCGTCAATACCTGTATATATCCATCCCGAAAGGAATCGTTACCTGATCAGAGATCTTGGAATCGTTGCATCGAACAACAGCGAACGTCAATCGGATGCATTTTCAGTTCGCAACGCGACACTCAACGCACATTTGTCACGCGCGCTTATCATAGGTACCTCTTTTACTAAATATAGATCATCATACGGTTCCACGAGGTCTCTGATCACGTGCACCTTTCATTAAATCAATTATATACTCCTCTCCCCCGCCATAGAATCCCTCATAACGACTTACTGTTTTTCCCTCCCGGAGGATGCATTCGTTCCGTTCTACGGATTCCTTACGATGCAACCCCCGTGATTGAACCTCAGACGCTCAGGGCTGTCTCGGTACATTCTTTCAACGTTGAAGCATCTGGAAAATGAGTTTAATCGTGATAAAAATGTTTCTTCCACGCGGGATGTAGACAGCCCCCGGCAAACAGTGTCAATCGATCTTAACCGAAAAGTATTTTTATAGAATACTCTTCGTGCCAGAATCCTACGATACATTGAGATACATACGACATCGCGTTATATTGTATTCTATATATTATATTAAATTTACGTGAATGTATACGCGCGTGTACAAATCTTATATCGTATCGTATCGTCCTACTCTGCTGGCAGATTATCCATTCTAGTAAATACGTGTCTAAACGACGACGAGCTGATAATGTTTACATTCGTCGCTAGACTCGTGAGGAGTACGCAAGTCTTCCTTTCAATTTGCACCGTTCGACGTTTGAGAATGACTGTTTTATTTTGACAACATACCTGCTGCGATCGCGTTGTGTCCTTCGAAAACAATTTATCTTCACTTCGTTTTAGGCATTATTGTTTCGGAAACGTGTTGTTGCTCAAATCGATATGTCGAGGGTTTGATTTTTTTAATAACCCAAGCATCGAAACGTTAATGCGCTTAATCGTCTCGCGAATCTGTAGATCAGAATCGCGACGTGTCAGGAAAATGGGCGAAAACTCGAACGAATTTCTGCAGAAAAATTAAAATCAATTTATAGATAATTGTAGAAAGTTAGTTTTCGCTTGTTTCGTTCGTATCGATCCTCTGGTACTAATAGAGCTTTAGAATGACGCGGCAACGCGAGATGTTCGAGATAGATACGCTTGTACGTTGCGAACTTGTGTCCATGTTTTAGATAAATAGTTTTGCTTACTTGTCCGAAGTAGAGACAAACTACGAAGCCTATCAATAGCCATGACATTTTCATAAACGTTTGATATGTTCACAATCCATTCGAAGTCAAGAAATATTCTATATGTTTTGAATTGTGCTTGAGGAACGCGTGCTCGTGATTTTTTAAGAACGATCTCAAATCGGAGCTCGCATCAAGAATGATCAAGGACCGCGCGAAAGAACAGGGGAAACGAAAACTAGTCGATATCAAAACGAGTTGAATGATGCAAAGGTAATCAAATAATTATATTATATACATCGCTAGATATGGAAGTCAAACCTGATTAACATAGATATATCATAATTGTAATCGTTAAATAAGTGTAACTATGTTGTATTGAGAAAACATCACGAGGCAGTCTCGTAAAACTGAAGATCTCTCCGGCCCGAAGGATTTCAGTTTTCGTTGCAACGAGACGGGACCTCGGATCGGTTGTTTGTTAATAATAATCAAATATATCTACGTTTTGTATCCGTTGGTTGACGTTTAAAGTGTCTCCGCGCTTCGCAATTGTGATTTAAGAATGGTCAATGAATGCGTCGAAAGTTACAAATGATTTCATATACGAGCGAATTGCTTGCAACAATCAGCTAACCGGAAGCGTTCAGATACCAGATTGCATCGTTGAAGCCCGGAAGATCTATGATTCGTTGATTAAAGAGAGGGTTTTTAAAAGGAATAGTATGGTCGCGTTATGCTTTTCCTAGGTTCCAAGTTCGTCACGTGCCATCAAATAGACTGCGTACTAAAATCGGTCAAGGCGAAGGAGCAAACGTAAAATTAATCAAATTGACGGAAACGGTGTTTCAAAGACTTCCGAACGATACTCGATCATCGCGTCGCGAATCCTTTAATTTTCCACCATTCATTTCATGTTTCAAACGAATACCAAATTCGAGAAATTTCGTGAATGGAAAAAAAATCCGTACTTTCTTCCTTCGTACACTGACTATTGCTATCACAAATTTTGTTCTCAGTTCGCCTAAAGTGAAGCGGTCTAATTGTAATAGCATTTGCAAGTTGGCAATACAATGTGTCGTTAAAACACATACGACCCAAACACGATAATGATCACGAATAATTATTGTAATAAGAAAACGTCTTTCATTACTTTATTAAAACGATCGCGAGTACAAGTCGTGTTAGTTAAACGATTATACGTGTGTGAATATCCGATATATAGAGCAAGATAAAGGAAGACCCGTTCGATAGGTCTTTGGTTCTTCGTGGGGTGCAAAATAATTTTAAGGGATACGGCATGAAAGCGAGGATAAGCACGTTAAAATATAACGAGGGTGAATATAATCTATGAGGTGTATTAAGAAAATAGCGTAAACACTAAGTCGAGCGAGGTTACACCAGAGATATCGCACTGTGAATGAGAATATTTATATTTTTACTTGAGGAAAAAAGTTATAATAACGTTTGTAACATCTAATTCTCACCCGATAAGGAATGTTTATAATGTTATTTTTCTAGATATATATCGAAACAATTATCATTATGTTAAGACGAAATATGCTCTCAAATGAGAAACAGGTGTGATGATCTATTGTAAATGTGGTACATGCTGTGTATTCGGCTAGGGGGTGTGGGTATCCATGAGGGTGTATCCCTTGGTTGGCTGAGGTGATTCTGAACAATTTCTTCCTTCGCCAAAATACTCCTTAAGGCTTAGTTTTTGAAATATTAATGAAAAACACTGAATAATCACAGCGCGCGGGCTCGACCACGGAAGTGTCGGCTACGAGAAGCATGCTCAACCGCAGTCGCGAGTAAACTACTACAGTACGTCGGTTCGTAGCCGACACTCCCGTGTTCGCACCTGCGCGTTTCTCTGTTTCTCTGTTTCCTCAGTTTTTCATTAATAATTCAAAAACTATACCTTACCGGGCATTTTGATAAAGAGAAAAGTTGTTTAGAATCACCCCAGCTACCACCCCTACCCAAACACTCTGTACATTTTGGTCTTTGTTAAATTCTTGCATTTCGCTTCGATTACTTTGACGATTTCTTTTTAAATAGTGTGTTATAAATGTATGATATTGCTGTTAAAATATTCTGAATTTTATGGCGAATGTTCACTAAGAATGTGGGCGTGCGATACAACCAATGGTTTCTCGCGGTGTTCATTACCATTTAACTATGCTGTAAGTATTATTTATGCCTAACAAGGAGAACTACCCAAGTGTCACACTCACTTATTAATGAAACTTTGTCAGCTTGTAGAGCTCGTCGAGCTGAACACGCCTATACCCCGTTTTGTGAGCAGACAGCTAATTGTTTAAAATATATTAATAATTAAAGTTAGTTACTACTTACATTGAAAAGTATGACAAACTCACACATACAACTCACAATCTAGAGATTCAAGGTTCAAATCCTTGGTTCCCAACATTTTTTTTTTTTTTTAATGATTATTTGTCTCTTTTTGAATAACTATTACATAAAAATTATCATAAAAAAAAAAAAAATTTTTTTGGGAACCAAGGATTTGAACCGAGGACCTTTAGTTTACGAGTCATGGATCCGCTCCGTGGTTATACACATGACTCGCAATCTAAAGGTCCCCGGTTCAAATCCCGGGTTATTGTTTTTTTTTTTTTTTTTTTTTTTTTCTTATAATTGGTAGTAACACTTGGGTAGTTCTCTTTGTAAGTTTCAGAAAACATGTGGTTACGTTGTACGACTAATTAAAGAATTGATAGCTACTGCTTATGAAACTCATGTTTCATATCAATACTTACGGTTAAATAACATTGCAATTTTCATTTATATCACTGCAATTTTTTACTTCAAATGTCTTGCGGAGCGATAGTTATCAATGACAGAAAACTAACAGGTTTCATTTTATGGTCTCTCATTTGAAAACGATTGAGACAAGAAAGACGAGAAACTGTTTGTTACAACGTTTCTTTGTAATGTGAGAAAAATATTATGTTCTCTATCTACGGTACCTGCGATTGAAGGATTTTAATCATTGTCAGATTTGCTCTATTCACGTTTCATCGTAAAAGATGGAAAATAAACGATGGTGATCGGAAATTGTGAGAGGCGAGAGTGCAGTATGTATGGTGTTAGCTGTATGAAACCATGTTACGTGTAATGTTATGTACTGTAAGATTAGAATACATCATAAAATGGTGATGGCATGTACTGCTGGAATGTAATACATGTATCAAAGTTACCCCTAAATACAGCCATTTTATAATGGACATTCTCCTCTCTATAAGAATCATCTATTTCTTAATAACCATACAATAGATTAAGAAGAAAAAGGGATACCGAGTGTACAGTAGTACAACAGAGATCGTAAATGTCTGACTTAGAAACTGTTTATTAACAGAAAAATTAATACCGTCATCCATACAAATTAGCTTCTTAGGAGTATCTTAGTACTATATTGTACAAAGCATTAATATTGTTATCCTTAACTGGGTATTTGAAATATCGAAATACGTCGATGTATCGAGTCTAAAATACTTCACCCAAGAAGCGGTATTTTTTCAAACAAAAACAATCAATTTGAAATCCGCACTCACTCACGCGCTAAACGATTATCGAAAAATCGAACGCGATCGAGTTTGACGCTCGAATTCCCGCACATTGTTCTCATCAAACACACTAGTGACCGCGTGTCTACCGCGATTTTACGTTGTGCTAGAAAAAACGTTTGAGACAAGTAATTAAAAAGTATCAAAAGGTGACCTTCTTGAGAATAACTTTGAGTTATCATTGTCTCCTATAAGTGAGGATTAACTTGAAGATTAATCTCGTTTAATTACAAAGAATGGAAACGACGCGGGACAAAGGCCGGTACCGCAGCCATCGTACCAGCAGCACATTCGGTATTGTAAAACTTAAACTTTAATTATAAGAAAACGATATATTACAAGTGGTTTTTTTACCTACAACCAAGTACTCTTTTCTATAAATCGTATTACAAGTTGTGACATAACATCTATTACATGAATCTTGACACTGGGAGATAAGGTCTCTGGCATCTGTTCGTAATTTCGTTAAGAATTAGTTTGTATATTCAGTATTAAAGGAAAGATAATATAAAAAGCACACATTATGTAAAAATAGAATAAAATCTACTATCTCCTGTTGTGAAACCTCTACAAAGGTTTCGGCTATACCCGGTGTGGATCAATTTTTTACAGGTTAGAGTTTAGACATACGTATGTAACATTTGGTTGAGGCTTGAAACTTTACGCTGGAATTATATACTTTCTCTTAAATTATTAACACGAAATTGAACGTGGAAATTCCATTCCCTTTAAAATACGTTAAATAAACGTTTAATTATTACGAGAATACTGTAGAATATAATAAAATAAGATGTTAACCGCGCGTATCGAATTCGGTCTAATCATACAATAGATTTGAATTTTATCACTGTAAATATCTGTAAATAACTAACAAATTGCATAACCAAAATTATACAGATGTCAATATCTTGACACAACTTTATCATTATAGTTCATCCCTGAGTAATGTGTACCTGTTTTTGCTGGGTGCAAGTTTTTTAAAGGTAGATTCTGGTGGGGTTGTAGGCACCTTGATTTGTCCAACTATTTGTGGTACTTCATTAGTACTGGGTTCTGGCCCATAATGAAACTCCCTATGTAGCTTTCCCGAATATAAATCTCTTAGGAAACCCTTTAGTTTCCCTTCTACATGAATATCATTGAAGTTTGGAAACAGGTACATATGTTTAAAACTATCTATTGCAATTAAGGGTAAATCTGCTGGAGTTTTGCCTAAATGATGAAGAGGATGAGCAAATTTTAAGCCATCTGCTGTCAAAAAATTCACATTTTCTGAAAGAAAAAAATATTATTTTTTTATTTATACAGTACATTAGAATTACAGAAAAATGAGGTTTACTTACGTTTTTCATCAATTAATGTTCTTGTAACTATATCTTTGTATATTTTAACGCTCTCTGTATCATCTGGAGCATGAAACAAGATAAGAAAGGGTAAACCTTCCTCTGTGAATTCCTCTGCATTTTCAAATGTGATTTCCCTCACAAGAGGAACACATTTTTCTTGTGCCCAAACATTCAATTCATCAAAATTATTCAAACTTCCATGGTATGTTTCATCTTCATCATTAGAAAGTGCTTTATCAGAGCGGAAGACAATAATAGGTTGTCCTGGGGGATGCATAGCAGAGCTTGCATTCCTAAAAAAAGATTTAATAAATCCTTATATAAAAATTCAAGGGAATAGGATTTTAGCACATCAGAAAACTATTCAATAAATGCAATAAATGCCATTAAGTACAATAAATGCCACTTGTACCATGCACAACATCATACTTACAGCAAGTGAAAATGCTCCCCAATTTCACAGTTTTGAGCTGAGCATGTGCTTGTTAGAGGAAACAATACAACAGTTACACACACTTTACAGAATTGTTAGTTCATTTGTTAGCAAATATCAATATCATATTAGTAGCACATGCAACACCAATAAGAACAATAACACTTACCCAAAACCAACATGAAACTGACAATCATCTTTGAGATTGGTAGCAACTCTTCTAAACATTTCATATTCAGGAACATCCTTTCTATCAAAATATCCAATAATCATTCGTTTCTTATCATCTAGATTGGTTAATTCTCTTAAATCATGGAACTCTTTAATTGGATCTTCCAATTGTTTCCTTATAAATTCTTCAAAAGCTTCTACTGATCTTTGACCCCTGTATTCCCTTTTAGTTGGTTGGCCATTTCTTATGACCTTCAGTGTTGGATATTTGGTAATATGAAACCTTGAAGCAATAGAGGCTAAAAGATAATTTTCCTATTTAATATTTTTAACAATTTATCTCCACTGGAATAAAATCAACATTAGTTTTGTGTGCTTATTTAGTCCAAATGTGATTTACTCACATTCTCTATCACAGTCTACTTTTGCCATTACCACTTTCCCTGGTTCAGGGAATGCATTCCTTACTTTAGTAGCAGCTTCCTCAAAAATAGGGGCTAATAAATTACTAAAACGACACCACTGTGCGTAAAAATTTATAAATACCAATTCGTTTGATGCTACAACAAAATGCAAATAAGTAAACGATTTATTAATCGATTACAGTCATTTATCTTTCGTTTATTCCATCGCAACTTACCGAGCGTCATATCAATATTTTGTTGAGTGAGCGATACCGCACCTTCGTTCGCATCATTCGCTAAATTGTTTGGCAGAAATGCCTAAAAAATAAAATATTTCGTCAGTCCACTTATTCATTATTTATATAACTAATTTTCGAGATAGCTATAAATGTGTTTCAAAGCGTTTACGCATACAATTTTCAAGGTATTTAACACATGACATATGGACAAGGTAATTTATTTAGGAAGGGTAAATTAAAAAAAAAAATAGGATTTAAAAACATATTTTTATTTTTTGGTATAGTGCTTAGGTATTCTGTCTTCATCTCTTTCTTCACTATCGGCTTCTGATTAGGATTAAGCCCAGAAAACACTCAATTAGTGAAATTAGTCTCACATTTTGTTTGTTTAATGTGTCTTTGAGGTTATTTTTTTTGTATACGTGTACAGGTTATGCCGCTAATTTGTGTATTAAAATTCATTTCCATACCATTAAAATGAGCGGAAGATTAATAGGCTATAATAACGGGAAATGGAGCGTCTAGAATTCGTACATTCTTAAATACGTGTCACTTTCATGTTACTGGCGGTATTCAAAATTTTGTATAGCTTTCTTTGACAAAACAATGAAATACACTTATTCAAATGGTACTCACCAAGAAACAGGCAAATATAAGTATTTTGAAATCGAAAATATCACAGAAGACCAGCATATTATGATCTTAGAGTACAAATTTAATCAGGCAATACTTTTTTGAATAACCATCAGTAAGCAGCTGCCTCTGTGTCAAATGCCACGAATCTGCAGTAAATCGAAACCTAGAGAAATATTTTCGAGACATCGAGATGTGACAGTGTCGGCACAGGTAACACATAAATTCTCTATGCCAATGTTATACCTGCCTCGGGTTTCTTTGTCCAACTCATGCGCTCTCTTCTTGGGTCTTCTTTCAATGCTTACCTGGCTTTACCGTTTCTGTTTTCCCTAGCTAGTTAGTTACTTATATTTCTAGGGCTTCTCTCTGTAAAACACTGTCACAACAGCTAACCAATGGCGTTCGCTTACGGATAACGACGGGACGGTCGATATTCCCTAGGTTATTCGAATCCGAGGCGGGAGTTCTGTATTCTCTGCCTCTATGTTTTACTTTACGTTTCAAAGCCGTTCTAGGAAACGCATAAAACAATAAACCTAATTTCTAGAAAACTAGGTTTCCCCCAAGTTTATGACGGTTCGGCTTACCGTTCAATGCAGAAAATAAGTTACGGTTCGTATTTTCCAAACCGCAGGTCGAATTCTTGTAAAGAGCATACTGCAGGAAGTGTCATAAAATAATTACACCTTTTAATCTCCGTGAAAATTCTAGCGATTGTTCGTGCGAAACATAACCATCAGGTAGATTGGCAAATGCTGGTTAAAGGATGAAAGGTATCGGTACTTTCTGTTACAAGTCAGAAGAACATTCAATAGACCATGGATCTTAAAGACAATTTCTTTGGAAACCCGCTAGAATCTTTCTATTAACAACCACCACTCGTTAACATCTTAGTCTCTTCCTTGACCATCAAAAGACCTCCGAAAGATGAACAATCGTTCCCTCTGACCGCAACAAACTTACCTGTAAAAGGTCGCGTCGCGGAAAGTGCAATAAAACAATCATACATCCGTAATCTCCGTGTAAAAGCGAATTATTGACTGCATAGAGGATAACAATAACGTTCATTCAGCATCGCTAGTATAGACACACTTCAGAAGCATGACTTCGAGAAACCTCTTCTTCCTATCCTACGAAATTTCAATGTTCAGGTACACCTGGGTGAGTCCTCGGCCCTCGACGATATAATCCCTATTGAACGAGTACGAGGACTCCAGGCACGAACTCTAACAATAATTTATGGCCACACGAGGCTGCAACGAAACGCTCGAACGGGGTGCGTTGTCGCGTAAGCCATGGCTTAACCGTAATTTACAACAAAATCCAATTTTCCCAATTCTACGTCCGTCTGGTGAATCTCATGAATTTCTCAAATATTTCTTTCCTCGCAGCATGTAACCACCAAATCCAACATTTGACTCTGGTGGTATGACGCGAGAAAAATCTTTTTTCTGTCACTTTAATTTCCACGCAAGATCCGTAATATGAGGTAGGGGTACTTCAGTCATCTGTATAGTTTTTAATGCGTTCGCTTGACATAAGTTTCCGCCAATAGTTCTGTTAGGATGCCAGTCGGAATGACTTTGAGTTCGTAGGGACCTTTATGCTTTTCCGTTGCCGACGTTTTTAGCCCTCTCCGCAGGGGGTGAACGCTCGAACGTACCGATGTCAATCTTGCATCTGAATGGACCAGCCGCATGTCATCGTAAGCGATAGGTCGTTCGTGAATTACAAGTGTTGAATGATTTTTCGCGATAATCCAATATTCCTGATCTGTTCTTTACGGCTGCATTTAAATCGGAACGATCTACCCTTATTCGCGCGGATTGACTCAGCAGTCATGATTAATTTTAACGCATTATGGTGACACTTGTTTGCCCGGGCATCGGCATTCTTTGACACTGGATCGGGTGCACTGCTGGATACTAGTTGAACAAACGAGCCTGTTGAAAGATAAAACCACACAATGCGCCACAGGACTCTGCATCCTACAATATTTCCTTTCCAGGAAAAACTCTGATGCGACTTCTAGGGCGGCATTGACTTTTACTACTGTACGACTAAACGCGTTGACTTTTACAAAAAAGGAAAATCGTATCTCTCGAGAAATTCGCAATGGAAAGCATCAGCAACATACGTGTTCAGGATCGTAACCAGTTCTTCTCTCGTTCTTATTTTCTCTTTGAAATTATGAGAGAAAAGAAATGGTTGTAATATCCAGGTAACTTTTTTTTCCGGTACATCATTTATAAAGTTAGAGGAAAAAGTTGTATAGCGAACCAAGAGATATCCGCGAAGTCGTTAATTTTATATCAAAGCCCTTTTACGACCCTACCTGGAACAACGTGGGTCCCAGGCATGGTTCTGGAAGGAAGCAATTATCCATTTTAATTCCTCGTTGACTTGACGTGGGGTATACACACGGATATGTTAGACTGTTTGATCAGTCCGGCCATCCGTGGTCGTTTCAGTTTCTCGTGATTCGTTCTCGGGGTACGGCACACAAATCATATTCAGCCGGCCGTGGTCTAGAATTCTTGTTCTACCTTTTAACTATCGTCGTCGAACCCATGCTCTTGCCGCAGAAGCGGTCAACCGGCACGATTGAGACAATAGAAAGAAACTATGACCTGCTCCCTGTTAATTAAAATCTATTGGTGAATGATGGCCCCACATAGGATATACGTTCATCCATTTCTTTTTAAAGAGTCATTACTTTTCATCAAGGTATTCATTTAGAAATTGTAAACCAACTGTTAACGTCCGTGCTATTGCCTTTGAGACAATTGCCGAATGGGATTAAAATTTAATATCGTCCTTGGTACCTTTGAAAGAGAATTACCTGCGGATTAGCAGTATATAGCGTCATAATATTTAGAGCAGCCCTTGCAAAGGCTTGTTAATGCGATATACCTAGAGTGTTCGTTAACCTTTACTGCCTGTCTTATTGTCCTGTTTTACCGGGAAACGCTCCGACAGAAAGCGATTGCTTGGAAACTTGCCGACACCAAGTTTTGAAAGGTAGCACAATTGTTACCTTTAATTCGGCACGATCACAAACGTCGAGTTGCGTAATGAATCCGCGTACAATGTGACGGCTTCCTTTGAACGGTAGATATTCTCACGGCTTCGAATGGATATCCTGAGGATACCCGTCGATTCTGGTTCTTATTCCAGCATTTCTTTCTTTATTTCCTCTTTCTTCATCTCGAACGCAACAGGTCGTATTGTGACGAGGGTGTCATTCCCTTCGAATGGGATCGGCGAGAGAGGACCCCTTCGGTTCGATCCTTGCATCGCGTCGTTACGACGGAGCACAAATTTATGGACTTGGGACCGACGTTTTACAGCAGGTACATGCCTCTTTTCCCCTTGTTCTCGCACCTTTTGCGGATCGTTAATTCGTTCACCGCGATCGGCTACCTTCGGCATGTTTGATAATTCGAGAACAAGTTCGTTTGGTGGAAAAAAAAGACGTGACAGCTCGAAGAAGTTTGATCATCGTAATAAGACTTCCGTGCATGACGTTGAACTAACAGAAGGCTTTCGCAATTCGATCTTATCGATTATCAACCTTAGCGATCTACCGGTCTTTGTCCGTAAACGATGTGTAATAAATGAATATCGTAACGCGACTAGGAGAACCTGCTTATACGCTACCAAGACTCGTTTTCTTTCTCTCTCTGTTCGGCAAGTGATTAATGACGAAGCACTGTTTGCTGTCCATTTGTCTACAGCTGAACAGGTCGGAGCAAAGAACGAGGGCCCTAATCGTACGGTGAAACGTTATTGGAATCGGTTCGATAGCAGTTAAGTTTGATTACATTATTAACCTTCCGAGAATTCGGTACTTAGTTGGACAATTAAAAGCAACCCCATCAGGTGAGAAGAATAGGGTCGGTACTTATAGTTAGGTTGTTAACATTAGCTACGGAACTTTCCCAAATATTTGACTGGTCAGGTAAAAGTAAACTCGAGTTCTGTTTCGGTGTAACTAGCCTGTTTACGTACAAGATAACAGTGATCTTCGGTAAACGTTGTAATCTCTTATTTACACCCTCGTAATCCTAACCCGATTAGCAACTATGTAGCTGTTAGTGGGGCAGATCTGACTAATCTTGTTCCATAGGAAGGTACGCGATCCGATCGGCTTCAAATAGGCTTTCTTCCCTTACAGAGGAATCGTGAGCGGCCACGTTACGCCGATCATCGTGTGAAAACTGCAAAGTCTCGCTCCATTAGCTCCGAAGACTAGTCCCATTGTCGGGTCCATTGTTGAGGAACGTGGGCCTCTGCCTCTTTCTTCCTCTCGTTTCTTCTTCACCATCATCTATCTCGTTTTTTCTCTTCTCCTTTTCCTCCTCCACACTTCTCATGCCTTGTCTTCTACGTTTTCTTCCAGATTCGAGCATAAGTTAAAAGAAACCCGTCAAGACTAGTGACCTGCTGATCCCGATGATGCCTCCTTCGACCAGGTAAATCGCGTATAAAATTGACCCGTAGCAAGGATGAAAAGGTTCGACCCTTAATGACGTCTCAACGAATGAACCGTCATCAGAGAAATGCCTTCGAGTCATCATCCAAGGGTGCCATTCGAAATTCGACGAAACTGTATGTTTTTCCATTTTTCAATATTTCTATTTTCTTTTTTTTTTTATCAGAAAAAATATCGAAAAGATAAGTGCAATTACAATTTGATGTAATTTGAAAGCGTTAAATTATTGGCATTCGACTTCGAGGTAGTAGACAATTTCTAACCAAAGACCTAAGACCACACCGATTTCCAGCAAACTATAAAAGTTTGTGAGTTACGGTAAACCGTAGGAAAGCGTTCATTTTTCGAGAATATTAGTTCTCGTAAGCGATAGCTCATATTTATGCGGCCAGGAATGGACGGGTTCTTTACAAAAGAGCGCCGAAAGACTGTTACTGCCTACAAGAATTATGTTACGAGACTTCCCGTGTCCTTTTTCCATAAAGTAACGCCGCTAGCTATTCTGTTAATTCGTACAGCATTTCTGAATCTCTGTACGATAGATCACTCGAATGTATCGAAAAGTAGAAGTCTTTTTTTTTCATATAAAAGACGTAGACGCATAAGCCTAAGAAATATATTGGAAATCGAGGACCGTCAATTTCTTATTGCGGATAGCCGAGATCTGACCTGCGTCGTCCTTTCGATTTGCATCGGTCCACCGCCTCTGAATGTCTCCCAAAAATGCACGGCTTTCGCAGGAACATCGAACGTCCTGGCGAATACAACAAAGCGTACTTTTCCACCCTCGCGGCTCCCTCCGTTTACCGATTGGACACACACCGCACGAAAGTGCAGTCTGGATCATCGTTTCTCTTTTACTTAGTCGATGACCAGTCAAAGAGTCGATTTTTTTTTTTTCAAACAGATCCACTAGATGCCCGACTTTTTCGGGGATCGATGGATCTGACAAAAAAGTGGAAAAAGTGCAAGAGTGAAAGATACGGTGAAAAAGTGCTAGTGTTATCTACGCAAAGTGATCAAAGGAACACAGTGCAACGAAGAAATACAAATTTTTGGAAAATTCCCATCCTCCCAGGGGAATCGATCGACTGCGTGGGAGTAGTGTTTACCAGCGAAGCAATTTACCCCTAGCGGAGACGTTAAGCGGCTTATTAGGGGACAATGGCCAGCTTCGAGCAGAGGAAAGTAAAGGGTTGCTCTGGGCGTGCCCCCACCTTTCACCCTTCTGCTGCTACAACATTGTCGCAAGATTTACGACGATGCTGCAGTTTGCAATGCTACTGGTACTCGTTCGGACATGTGTCATCCAGCACTGTCCAATTTCCATGCTTTTCCCACTTCTGCCAATACGATGCTTTCGATGAATTTGACAAACAACCACGAGTCCCCTGAGAGTTTGCTTGTGGTCATCCGGCAAATATTCCAGAAGATCGATGGTCCGCTCTGTCTTTTCGTGTACGTACACGTGACGTCGGATGATATTTCCTGCACGCCGGAAATTGATAATCTTCTTCCGGTATGCAGCTGACTCGTCGCGTTGGTCTGCCGTTATGTATCAGTGGAACTGACTTATTGTGACGTGTTCATCGAGATCATATCAGTATGTATAAAAATAACGAAGAAACTATGGACTGGTGATGAAATGCTGAATTCTCGCTAGTTCGCAAAGCCAAACTTGGTTTTACAGATAACGACAGCCTTCGTCAGCTGCCAAGATGCTATCGAAACAAGTTGTTTCTTTGAAGCTGAATAAACAAGAAGAAGGAAAGACAAGGAAAGTCAGAGAAAAAGTTATCGACTTGTCCTGGATTTTTCTCTCTGCTCCTCAGTATTTTTTCCAAACTACCTGCATTGGGCTACTGTTGGCATTGTTCGTTCAACAGAATCCAGTAATAGTACCTATCTGGTGATGATCGGTAGCGCGAAAGTGTCGTCACCTCGTCCTGCCAATGATCGCTTTACAGCCACCATAAACCGGCACTTTGTGCAGCCTGTGCAGTTCAGTTCCAGTTGGTACAAGGTATTGTGAATGCGCTCGTTCAGCACGACCAGGATCTTTCATGGATTTATGGTACGACGTACACCACAATGCACACCTAGAACCTTTGGGAAACTGGCGTTCGTTATCACGTGCTTCCGTGCAACAGACAGGTCATCGCGGGCCTCTTGCACGCTTTGATACGTCTTTGCAAGATTCGTCCGTCTCCATTGACGACCATCATGGAACCTTTAAATACCGTGAAAATTTTTACTTTGACTCCTTTCAACTACCAGCTAGCATCTTACGCTGCTCGAGCTTTCAGAAAATGCAGAAAATCTTTTCTCCTTTGCACAATTTTTTCAAGAAAGAGATGATTTTAGTAAGAGAGAAAGCTTAAACATTATTGCAAAGGCACGAAAGAGTTCGAAGAACCTTCTTGACGAAACGAAATGAGAGTATTGATCGACTTAAGCATCGAACAAAAAATGGAATGAGACAAGGAAAACGTCTCGTGATTTTCAGCGGATTCTGCCATTAGAAAAAAACAATTGTACGTGCTTTTAGTAAAAGATGGCGATTTGTAAAAACTATAGATGCTCTCCGGAGAATAGCATAGAATTCACGAAGACTTTCCTCGGTGGCATGAGGCAGCCCCCAGGGACGACCACAAAAGGTGCGTAGCCTCGATCCTCGATCCTCTATCCTCGGAACGCAGGGTTGATTTATGAGTCGATGGAGGGGAGGGCGCATGCGCACCAAGCCACAGGATTCACTGGGGTCTATCCCCACCTCCATAGAGGAACCCGGCAGAGCATTCAGCCTCCTCCCTTCTTCGTCGGTTCCTTGTCCACTCGGTTATTAAAACCGAGGCGACACGGTCGGCAACCAGCAATTATCTGGCGAACGCTCGGAGCCGCGCACGCTCCGATCCGAGCACAGTTCTCTTCGCTTTTCTTTTCATTTTTCTTTTCGTTTTCGTTTCGCTTACCCACGGTACCAGTGATTAAGATCGCGGGATTACTTTGTCTCCTGTTCCGTCTAGCGAACACGTGTCGAAGGATTGAGTTCATCGAAGGAGTAATTATATCTGTGGAAGAAACTATCACGAGGAATCAGGAAGTGAAGTGATGGCACAAGTGATGCAGTATCAACAGGTCTGTAATAAATACAGCAATAGTGTCCAACACGAACATCATTTTTGTGTAATTGCTCGTGAAATACGTTTGTTTGGAAGTGATTTTTCATTTACTTCTTTTATCAATTTATCGTGCTTTGAGAAGGAAAGAGATAGTGACCACGCGACGATACATTTTCCAACGCCAGAACTGTTGATCGATGTTAAAATAATCTGAACTTTATTTGTGTTGCAGATGTGCATGCCGACAATGTCTCCGATGCCAGGCATGACGCCAATGTCTGGCCTCTCAATGCCGATGCATCAACCCGCGGCTATGGACTACGGAAGTCCGGGCATCCATTATCAGCCGTACAATCCTGCATTAGGCAGTCATCATCTTCAGACCAGCCAATCCAGCTACTGGTACCCTGGATCCACGAGTCACGGTCAAATTACCGAGCCGCTGACGCCGGCAGCGTACACGATGCCAAGCGTACCAAGCAGCACCGCTTCGTGGACCACTCAAACGCATCTCAGCCAGCCTCAGTTAACAACGATCTCGGCGATTCAGCATTATTCTTTGCCTCCAAGTCCCGCCGAACTTCCAGCAAGCCCTCAGGATCACGCTTCCCCGTATCAGTGGCCGTTAACACCTCCAGCCGAACATCATTTGCTTGGCACGGACGAGGTTGGTAAAGCCGGCAGAAAATGCATGAGATGTCGATGTCCAAACTGTCAGACGGATAGCGGAGCTCAGTTGGGAATCGACGGCAAGAGGCAACACGTGTGTCACGTGCCTGGATGCGGTAAAGTGTACGGTAAAACCTCTCATTTGAAGGCGCATCTCAGATGGCACACCGGCGAACGACCTTTCGTTTGCAACTGGTTGTTCTGCGGCAAACGATTCACCAGGAGCGATGAATTGCAGCGTCATCTTCGAACACATACAGGCGAGAAGAGATTCGCTTGTCCAACGTGCGGGAAAAGGTTCATGAGGAGCGATCATTTAACGAAACACGTGAAAACGCACGAGAATCAGAAGAGAAAAAGTTCCACGGCTAAGAAGGAATCCAATAAAGAGAATTCGTTGATCGCCGCGCCCATCCAGAATTCGTATCCACCGACCGGCGGACAGTACACCATGATTTAGGATTAGAAAGTCTCCAAATTATTAGAATCGAGAAAGAATAGTTTACGCTGTGCTAAACTGACACGACTGATGGATCACAGTGTCCGTCCTTGTAAATAGTTGACCAATGTTCCTTGCTTCTCTTGTAATTATTGTACATATATGGAGAGAAAATTGTATATTTTTGTAAATTATATGTAAGTTTAGGTGACGTTAATTAAGTTACGATACAAATAAAAATGATTAATAATAATGTTTGACCATCCAACCCGATAAATTAAATACTCCTTTAACATGCTAGTGCAGCGTTGTCGTAGGAAATAGGGGTGATCAGAACGAACGTAAATTTTATGCGGACTAAAGCTTCGATTTACCGTGAAAATTCACATAATAACGAATCATCCCCTTGCCGTATATCAGGTTCCTCTCTGACATCTTCCTGTCATACGATACATCACGAGACCCGCCCAAGAAGCACAATACGACGCGGATACTTTAGAATCGAGCCCTTCTTCGTAGTTTTCGATGATTTCCTACCTGGCAGGTGTCTCGATAAATAGAAAATATCATTTCATAGAAACTCTACCCTAAATATCCCGATCGTCTCCGTATTCCTCTTTTTTTTTTCAATAAATTAAGAGGAAAAAAATGTTTCTCTTTCTGTTCACGAGACAGACGAACAAGATTCCACGGTCTTCCCTTTCTAACTAGGGCAAGGTTTTTAAAGGAACTCCGGAGTAGTTCAAAGAGGAGTTTTTCGAGGGGAAATTGATGAAACGCGTACGGCACTGTAACGGGTCGTTTCATTCGTATTCCGGCCAAGAGATGGCTGCACGGTGAATGGAAAAAGCCCGCGTAGCCCTATTAAGGGGGCGGCGCGCCGTAGCCCCATAGCCCCGTTGCCCCGGCAAGGATTCATGGCTGGCACGTAGAGGTAGAGGTAAAGAGGCAGACGCAGAGATAGAGGTAGAAGAAGCGCAAGAGAGGGAAAGCTAGGAGGTAAAAGGAGAAAGGGAGAGCGTGGAAGAAACGAGAAGAAGGTGTAAAAGCGAGACAGAGGTGGAAGGTGGTAGGTTAAGGGGAGGAGAAGGGTGGAAAAAGGGGTACGAAAATGGAATAAAACAAAAAGGAGGCAGCCGTGGAGCAAATTATAGGGAAAAATAGGGAGGGACGAGGCGGAGGAGGCAGCACAGGCCTCGGTGGTGTGGCACTCATGGAGGAAGAGGATCAGGTGGATGGGTGGAAAGGTAGGAGGGGAGGAGGGGTGGCGCCACGGCAATTCCAGGCTCGCGTTCAACGTTCCCCGTGGAGTACCGCGGATAGCCGCGAAGTTAGTGCGCAAGAGATTCAAAGAGAGTTCAGAGTGACGAGAGACTCGTGTCTCCTGTTTGCCGGTTCTCGATCGCCGGTCCACCGCGAGCTGAGATCACTGGTCACCGGTCGCCAAAGAAAAACGCGCCCGCGAGTCGAACGAGAATCGTCGAGAGCGCGACGAAGGAGGACAGCCTTTGATTCTAGGGGAAAAAGAGAGGGAGAGAGAGGGAGATAGAGATAGTGAGTCGAGTACACAGTACACAGCTCTCTCTTACGCGTTACACGCGGTCAGTGCAAGAGGCTGCGACGTGCCGCGAGCATGCGTCTGCGACGGACAGCCCTTAAGGCGGATACGCAACACGCCGACTCGCCGTCGTTCTCCTCGTTGTCAATATCCGTGAACCCTCGATTCTCAACGTCGCTACCGAACGAATGCACGCGCTGACACTGTCCATAGGGCGAAGAATGCACTAACAGGTTCGTAGGCGCGCGCATGTCATCGATCAACCCGAGACCGATCTCGATTCTTAACCGATTCGTTCGCGATCCTTATGTCTCTTTAACGAACTACAATCACGCGAGTTGCCCGCCACTATTGTTAACCCTTTTATCCGTTTCATCATCCCCTACCAAGTGGTTTCCTACGTTCACTACTCCGTTCGCGACACCTCGGTGAACATGGAACAAACAGTGACCACTTCGAAACGAATGCAACGTGGCTGTGATCGATATCTTGGTATCATGATCGATCGGTGTGCACATTCGATACATTGTTCACTGTGTTTATTCAATTAAACACGACAAACTACTTTTATCGGTTAAAGTTGTACTATAGCCGTGGTACGATACAGTGCGAATCTAGGATAGAATGCTTTTGAAACTCGTTTATCGAACAGTGATCAAAAGTTGTGTCAAAGTGTGGTTTACTGTCATACAGTGTAGACAGTGGTATTCGAGCAGACCGTTCTGAGGATCGAACAGGGCTGTTCGAGATATCGTTTTTCATCGATATTTTTGAGATTCGCGAGACCAAGTAAGCCGACAAGCTGGACGCGGAGGTCGGTGGCGGCGGAGGCCGCAGGGGTATCAGCCCCCCAACTCATCTTGGCAACATAAACGTAGGTTTTTATTTTCCTACTTTGTATACGTTGCGTGTTTAATCCTTTTAGCCTTCTTTTTTATTTCGTAAATGATTTAAAATGTACCAACATAATTTGCACACCTAAGGGGGTTGCATCGTTATTTTCTAATAGTTATATACTGTTGTGTAAACCTAGTAAGTTAATATGCAACTTATAAGTAGGCAGAAAATTGTTAATAATTGGTTTAGTTAATGGAAAAGTATTTTACAAAGTGAGCAACTTGTACGGAGTTGTGAATTGATCTTCCGTTTATCGACGGCACTTGCACGTTTCCCCGCTTTTAGTGTAATCACGCTCGTTACCTGAAATTACGCATAATAAATGGAATTTCTCGTTTTATTGCAATTCGTTATGGCTACCCCAACGGATGTGTCGTGTCAATTTGCGACCTATGACGAATACAAATGTAATGGGTATTTCTTACACGGTCAACGGAAAGAACTTTTTAATAATTTATCGTGATGAAGGGGTCATTTTACTACTTGATGATAGGAGATTATCGAATGTGAAACGAGCAATAGAACGACACCGCACTTTTACATTTTTCTCTCGTTTACCCCTTTCAAAAATTACTACAAGACCCTTCCCAAAAGTTGGGATTTTCACTCTAGTTATAACTTGGTATTGCAACTACAAGCTTTTTAAATATTATGTTATCCATTATGTTGAACAGGGTAGGTTGATTTCGGAGGTATCAAAGCATTCACTAGGTTCTTTTTTGTTTTATGTTAGAACGTCGAAAATTTACTCGTTAAGACCAAGACCGATATTTGCGAGGTCGCAAAAGTTAATCGTGAAACCGTAATTTGGTTACACGAATTCGTCGAGAGAACTGCTAGCCAGTTCTGGCCGATATAGTAAACGTTACTATGTTGCTACGCCCGTTTCACGCCCACCATACATCATGCGTTATACGCAGACCTACCTGCCGACGTACACGCTCTTTCAAAGGTGTTGCATGTGTTCTGAACAAATCCTCGATGCAAAAATTGCACGCAACTTTGTTCGCGTACTTACAAAAGTATACGTTTCGAGTAGTGCATTTGTCACGAGTTTTTCAGTAATTCATGACGTGGTGCCAGGTCGAATTTGAATCATTAGGGACGTGTAGTAAAATTCACGTGGGTGTAGCATGGCTAATTTAAAAGAAACCGAACAGGCTTTAAGAGCCAAGAAACAAATATATTTGAAAAGTTATGAAACCGTCTATAGGTAGCGAAGAGAGTAGGCCATTGGGTCGTTGGTTGAAACGCGGCAGAGCAGACGGTCGTAAGGCAAGAAACACAGTGCCGGCACTTCGCTGACACACCTCCACACAAATCTAATTAATTTATATCCTGAGAGAGGCGCCACTAGGGATGCTAAGTCGGACAGGAAAAAGAAACGAGCAAAGGAGAAGGTACCGTGGTACCTTCTCGCTTTTCGACTCGCACAATCAAAGGTTCTAACATTCTGAGCAGGGAAAGGATTTAGAATCCCTTCTCGAACCTTCTTCGACAAAGCACATCGATTTTTTTTCTCTCTTTTGCCTCGTCGCGTGCTAGGAAACGTTTAAAACTGTAGCAACCGTGAAAAACGAACAGGCTGGCGTTAGAGGCGTTGAAAGGAAAACAAAAAAATAGAAGCTAATTACCCGTTTATATCGCATAGAAATTAACGAAACCAACGAGCAAGTATCGTTAATTAAGAGAACGAATTTCTGTGCGACTTTGAAACATTTGAGAAGAAGCGCGTCGCTCTACATAACTGTTGGTTACATTGTCAAGTTGATGGGAATTATAGAACGGAACGGACACGAAAAAGCACGCCATAATACCTTACCGGCCAACCGACAGGTAATTAACCTGTCCCCTCAGAAAATCTACACGCGTTCGTACAACACGTACCACTCGAACCCTCATTAGCGGTTTACCTCGAGCGTCGCGTGAACTTTGCACCTGCAAATTGCCACCTCCCAGTTTTCCTTTACCGCGATACACCATGGTTCGACCACCATACAACTGTATCCTCCATGTCGACGTCCCTTTTGTCGCGTTTAGGACACCAGTTGTTCATTGGTTAAGAAATCGGAGTGGCCGCCGCCAGATGCGGACGATTTCACTCGCGAACAAGCAGCTGTTGTAGATTATGCAATTCTGACGAGAATAAAGACATCGGTGTCTTTTTCTTTAACGGTGAGGATAAAAGGGTGGTTCCGGTGCTGGTTATTGAAAAATAAGAGCCCCTAGCGGCAACTAAACACGGTGACACGTACTTGCTCGATTTACTTTTTAGCATTTTGCATACTCAACGGGACTGGTTAGATTCGTGAGGTTCTCGGATCCGGTCCTCGTGTTATTAAGCTATTATTCTTAATTAGAAACGAATCGGAGGAAACGCTGTGAATTAAGCGTGTGTCCTCCCCTTCTCTTCTAACTTTTATGTAGACGATTAATAATTTGTACGGAGCAAACGAGCCTCCGAACATTTACGGCGAGGCGAGAGCGCGTGCGCGGAATAAAATAAGCGGATTATGCAGATGAGAGTCCGATTCTGTCACTTTTGATTTACGGTCGACCCGTTAAGGATGCGGGAGCGACAGCGGAAGGACAGAAGAGGAACGAGGAGACCGCGGGAGGAGGAAATTTCCTCGCGGTACACGAACCCCACCGACCACGAACTATTTACGTTCCCCGGATAAGTGTACTATTAACTAACCTCGCGCTAATATCTACGTTTTCTACCTCATTATGTTAATTGTGGGACCTGCGGCCCTCGAGGCCACGAAAGGGCACCGTTGCACCACCTCCGTATCAAACCCTCCTACTCGCCGTGCATTGCCGTTCTTTTCACTGTTACACCTCGAGAATCTTGGTTCGATTTCAAAGGTGAAAAATAGCTTCCCTTCGATCGATCGTAGAAAAGCGTATCATTGGTCCGACTGATAATTTTCCGCGTACTTGGAACGGAGTCGAGCGTTCCACGGGAACGGATAACGTTTGCAACGCGATTATTACACACGGTGCATGGAAACGAAAAGAGAGCGGTA